CGATAAATAGTAAATATAACTTCTAACAGTGGCGAGTTCTTCAACTGCGTAATGAGTATGTGAGTGCTGAAACCCACATAAACTTATATGGTTCGCGTATGCCCAGGAATCGAAGGACGATCTTAAATGTGAAAGTAATCCACTACCCTTGCAATTGCGAGCCTTTAAGTTAAATAGGCGGGCTATCTCTCATTAGCATTGAATTAAAGCTATTCCAAACCTGTCAGCGGTTCATTGGTCAGATGGCTATACCCTGCTGTTTTATTGGTTTGTCGCTGTGGACTTGCTGAAATTTCATATTTTGATGATCCCTAATAAGGAAGCCTCTGGGTCGAGACAGCTGTCTTCCAACGCCTTGCCTGAAAAGGGGAAAAAATCTCCTCTCCCACCTAGCCCCTTAAGGCCTGATACTCAGGATAGCCAACGCCTGGGTGATATGGCTTTGCACATCCGTTAGGTACTGGCCAAGCCGTGGGTTGGTGCACGTGTGTCAGTTGCTGTTACGTTTGCTGTAATCGGCGTAGGAGAACGCAACGAGATACCTTCTGAACATTTCCAGTAACGGGGTAGTTCCATCAAAATAATTGTACCATTGCGTGTGATACTCGCGCGCAATTTTGATGAGTGCGCCGCGTAAAGAATAAACAAGCAAAATGGTGTTGGAAATTACCTTCATGGGAGGTGAATAAATTCCATTTTCTGTCATTATTTTCAGGAGAACCTTAACCAGGAACGTTTTTGAGCGACGCACGTCAACCGGAAGTGGACTTTTTGCACTCTTGAGCCGCGATTTTGAACAAATTTGGGGAAAATCGTCTCGTTAAGAGTAAAACTGACACTTAGCAATTCAAATTTGGTGGTGCCAAGACATGTTGAAAAGAAAAAGGCTAACTACTGACCGACAGGCGTCGCTCAAAAACGTCGCTGTTTAAACTCCCTATTGACTTCGAATGTGAGGACTGTGAATGGGATTCCGATTATGGTAATCACTGGAATGAGATTGTCATTGTTTTTGATTTGTATGAAGGACACAGGGGCGTGATTTTTGAATAAAAATTAAGGGAAGTATAATGACGTTGATCCCTAAAGGTTTGACAACCAGGTGTAAAAAGAGGACAAAGCGACATATTGAGTTAGGAGAATTTCCCCTACCCAACCCCTGCCGTGGTTTCATGAGGACAAGATGTAAAAAAAAAGCTCAGTTTCTCTAATAAGCTTTTCTCTAATATGTTGGCGAACCTCGTTTCCTTATCGTCACTTTCTGAAAAATATTGAGGGGTTTTTCTCTCCTCTCTACCATTACTGTAGCCTGGCACCGTGAGGCTGAACCCGCAATACAAGGAACTAAGATCTGGAGAGGGTGTAGATTAAGAAACCACTGGTTGACTATAGTTTTATTTTCTCATAAGCAGGCAAATATTGAGAAAGCATTTTCATTTAATTAATAAGCAATAAAGGATTTGTATTTATCTAATTTCGTGTAACTATTTTAAGATCTTTTAACTTGGTAGCTCTTGTGTTATAATCCCCTGTCCAAATTAATGGGGCTGTGTTACGACAGTAGAGTTCATGTTTGACAGCGCAAGGCATCGAAGGGCCTCGAGACATGCATGGATAGAGTTAGAATTAAATGTACAAGGTAGTAGTCAGACCAATATATGTCTTAAGGTTGGCTTTATGAAAAAGAGCACAACTATGAACAATCGAGCGAATTTTAAGTTACCACGTTAGAAAAGATTGCAACTTTTTGTTTTTCCGGAGAGACGATTAAACAGCAAGCCGTAATGTTCAATGAGTTTTACCCGCGTCGCTCTTTAACCATTGTTAATTCCCATTAAAAAAACCAGACGGTTATGACAAGTATTATAACGATTTCCATCCAACAATCACAAGGATTCTAAACGATCTTAGGAAGCAATCAAAATTCACATCACATACATACAGCGCGGAAAAACGCGTGTAAAAGCTGGCAAATCCCGATTGTGCACCAAAGTAACGCGGGTTTTTCTGGCCAATCGCAGTGTCGTTGGGGCGTCAATTAAAGTAAAAAAATAGAATATTATTCGTTTGACTGTCCAACCTCGTTCCTATTGTTCCCTCTCTTCTCTCTCTCTCTCTTCCCCCCACCCCACTCTCTCCCCTCTTCCTCCCCGCTCCGGAGGAGAAGCAGAAGAGAAACCTGGTAACGAGGTTGCTTGCTGCGGGGTAAAGAAATGGGTAAAGACGAAACTAAATCAACATTCCTAACCAGTAACAGGTTTTGGATGCAACCTAATGAACCGTGCCGCATGTTCCAGTGAAAAGGAATACACACAGTAACAAGTGATACATTACCTGTGGGTTACTTATTCTAAATGCAAAGCTATATAACAGTTTTTTAACAGTAACATGAAACTTGAATTTACTGCACCCTAAAACACTAAACAGCCTATAAGTAAGAAAAGAGTTTAGAAAATAACTATAATGGGCCTAGGTATAATGTTTGATGATGTTCTAGTTTGAAAACAAGGCTTTCAATATGATAAAAATAACTTTTTAACAGGGTCCAAAATTTGTCTTTTCGCAAAGGGGTTGCCCATGATTTTGGTCAAAAATTTAAAACTTCTTCCAAGTTTATAATTCTTTAAATTAGGCCTAGATATATTGTTTGATGATGTTCTAGATAAAAAACAAGGCTTTCTATACTATAAAAATAACTTTTTAACAGAGTCGAAAAATTTGTATTTTCGCAAAGAGGTTGACCCATGCTTTTGGTGTAAAATTTGAAATTTCTTCCAAGTTTGTTTTTCTCAAAAAAAGGGCTAGATATATTATTTGATTATAGTCTAGATAGAAAACAAGGTGTTCTAGACTATAAAAATAACTTTTTAACAAAGTCGGAAAATCTGCATTTCCGCAAAGGGGTTAACCCATGCTTTTGGTGTAAAATTTGAAATTTCTTCCAAGTTTTTTCCTTTAAAAGGGGCCTAGTATGTTTGACGATGTTCTAGATAGAAAACAAGGCTTTCTGGACCATAAAAAACTTTTTAACATAGTCGAAAAATTTGTATTTTTCCAGGTTTGTTTTTCTTTTAAAAAAGGGTTTGATATATTATTTGATGATGACAATGTGTTCTAGACTATTAAAATGGTTTTTTAACATAGTCCGAAGATTTGTAATTTTTGATTCTGGTAAAAATTTCAAATTTCTTCCAAGTTTGTGCTTCTTTAAAATAAACCTTGGTATATTGTTTAACGTTGCTCTAGATAAAATTAAGGCTTTCTAGATTATAAAAATGACTTTTCAACTTATTCGTAAAAGTGGCATTTTTGTAAATAGGTTGATTTTTTGGATGAATAGAAACTATGAGAAAATTTTGTATTTTTTCCCGAGAATCATTATCTAGGTATCTCGTTAGAAAAAATTCTAAGATGGCGATATTCTATGATCTGGGGGCCTTAGGCTAAAGAAAAAACAGAGAAAATTGAGATTTCTTTTCCTTGACTAAAACGTTAACCCCTTGGGAAAAGAAAAGACGGCCACCAGACATAACCGGAATAATAGTGAATGGTCTAGTCGCCTTTACCCTGGGTCAAGTCTTAAAAAGTGACCCGCGTGAAAAGCTTCGCCGCCCGTGTCTTCGGCCGAAGGCCGAAGACTGGTCGGCCTGCGGCCGACGAAGCTCCTCGTCACACGCGAAAAAAATCTCTGGTTACCCAGGGTAAGTCGCCTTTGTCACAGCTCCAAACCGTCAAACAATAGTTACTTTTGCCATAATCAAAGGTAGAAAAATGTTGAGATTTAAGACACCATGGGTGTTCCTGGAATTTGAAGGCATTTCATAGCAAATTGAGCAACATTTAGTAGTGCGATCTTTACATATACAGACGGTGATGTACAAAGAGTAGAAAAACATACGACGTGAGAAAAAGGGCACAACTGAAGCTTCCTGGAATGAATCGCGTTGAAACGACCTCAAATCATAGTTATTAGAGGAGACTGGTTATGAAACGCAACCAACATCAAATATTAAAGCAACAGTACTTTAAATTGTGTTGAAAGCGCTCTGATGGTGCACAATCCTTTGTTTTCCGTTGGCAAATTGCGACGGAATAAATTAATGGAACGTTTTTATTGGTCAAAATGTTAGGAATGCTATTGAATGCTCTGCACCGTCAGGTCCACAAAAACAAATAAAAAAGGAGTGTGACGGGTTTCATAATGTTGGGGACGTTTTGCAGGTACCGTCATCACAACTTTAAAACTTTGATCAAGTTTCAAATCACAAGATCAGTAAAATACTAAATACTAATAATCTGAGGTAGGCTTAAAACAGAATACAAGATTCCTTAAAAAGTAAGCCACCTGCAACAGTAAATAAAACATGGAGACATGTTAAGAAACCCTGTCAGCTCTACTGGGCCCCCTTTTTTTACATTCTGCTGGTATATAATGTTTTGACTCCAAAATAGTAATGACCAGAGTCCCCATACAAACCCTTACAATTTAATGTTAGGTGGTTGGGCTACCTGTGGCTACAGGTCCAGAGGACGTCAAGTGTGGACCTGTGGAGATCCATAAAATTCCAGATTAACGAGAAGTAAGGCTTAGCTACTACGGAAAAAAAAAACAAATGGCACTTTAAATATATCATTTTATTGTGAATTGCTTCTTTTGGTACAACAAAATAGCAGGCATCTCATCCTTCGCTTTCTTTTAGTTTTACGCGTTAAATAACAAATATCCTTTTAGTAACAAAATGTCTTGGAAATAATACCCAGATCTGTTTCCTTGTCGCCTTTACGACCTGTTTACATGGAGGTGGGGGACCCCAGGAAGGTGAGGTAACCTGCTTAGAAGGGGTAACCTGCCAGTCAATATAATCTTCCATATTAATTTGACCACGTTTACATAATGGATGGGGTTGCAATATAAGAAATTATATGGACAGGCGGGTTACCCTACCTAAGCGTGTTACCTCACTCACCTGGGGTCTCCCAACTCCATGCCCTTTGTCTGAACCCCCAGGTCTTAAGGCTACTCGCCGCAGGTTAAAAATACAAAGGTTTAGTGGTGAAATTTCCACAAAGTACGTTTGCGTCTGTATATGGGAGGTCTCCACCTAAGCCGCTTGCTCCCAACGTGATTGATGGAGTCTTGCTAGTAGTTCTTACTTTTGGGTGTATGGTCAAAATCCTATGTTGTTACCATTCAACTGAAACTTCTTATAGCAAGAACTTTCACATGGTGTTATTTATTTAGTATGACATTCTAACTTTTGACTCTGTTGATAAAATCCTGTGGTGTTACCATTCAAATGAAACCTCTTCAGCAGTACTTTCACATGGTACTATTTATTTAGCTTGTAGTTTTAACTTTTGAGTCTGTGGATGAAATCCTATGGTGTTACTATTCAAATGGAATATCTTGTTAGTACTTCAAATGGTACTATTTACTATTTTGAGTCTGTCAATGAAATCTTATGATGTTACCATTCAAATAAAACCTTTTCAGCAGTACTTTCACATGGTACTATTTGTTTAGTACGATGTTCTAACTCTAGAGTCTGAGCACCAAACCCCATGGTGTGAACATTCAAACGGAACCTCTAAGACGGTACAATCACATGCTGCTACTGATTTGTTTAGTAGTTTTTAGTAATTTTGTTGCATTTTTCCATTGAACACGTTCTTGATTAAAATGGTTAAGAGAGGTGTCACTTCGCAGGGGTTCATCTCTATCTACAATACAAACCCTCGGGTCATTGTTTTTATCTTCACTAATTATTTTAAGATGGAACAGCACTTCTAATTTCTTGTGTGTTGGCTTTATAATGACACAGTTATGAGAATTAAAACATAGTCAGTGATTCAGCTATCCACGTCTGCGTCAAGGGGGCTATTTGGAGTGAAAAGCACACTGGCCTTTTTGTTGATCAAGTACACAAGTCCAAATGAAAATAAGGTGATGATCAATCCTGCAGCAAGGGTTGCACCCTGAAAACAAGAAAGGCAGTGAGAAAAGTGACAGATTCAAAAATTATTACAATAAATTTAACATGAGGAAATGCTTAAGGCAGAAATTATTCTTTCCTAAGCCACGTGCAAAGGGACGCAACAACTTCCAACATTAAAGAGTTTAAGCTTCACGTATACGGCAAACAGCAAACGTCAGATTCAAGTTGAGAATTTCTTAAAATAGAAAATGAGCAAATAAAAACAGGTGGGAATGCCAAGAGGAGAAGGGGGTCTATTTTCCTTCTGTCCACTGAATACCAGAGAAAATCTCTGCTAGCACGGAACTGTTGGTGTCAAATGCCCCTTCAAATTTATATTACCTCAAGTTGAGGACTTCCCACAAGGAAGAGTCTTACTGTAAGATCGTCTCCCCAGCTGAGTAAACAAGAAAAAGGTGATCAAAAAAAATTATAAAACACTGCTTTCAAACAATGGTGCAAAATTAATGATCAACAGTATACAAATTATCACTTGATCAGATAAATTTTTCTTGAATCATTACACTTTTAGAACCATCTTAGGAATCAAAAGAGAGAGAAGGTCCAAATCTGCTCTGATTTCTAGAGCTTAAATTTAAGGTGGCTGAACACAGTTTTGGCAGTTTGTGAGTATCATGGCAAGAGAACGGTTGCAGCTCACAAGCTGAAACTTGGCAAGTGAAAAATATACTGGTCAGCAGATACCCAGTTTTTACAGCTATTAATTGATTAAAACATGTATGCCCAATATCAAGTTAGACACAATTTGTATATGCCTTGGATTTTTACGCTAGTAAATAAGAAATTCTACATCTGCTATCATGAAGGGCGTACGTACATGCGAACGTACGGACATACGTATGAATGATTTTGTCAGAACAAAAATTTATTGGATGCACTGATAACCAAATTTTCTTCTACTGGATGACAGGTGAGTTCAACGCAGGGCTCCGTACACCCCTTAGTATGTTGCTAATAGCCACGGTACAGAAAAACAAACAGATCCACAGGAAAGTACTACTATGTAGCTTTCAACTGAACGGTCACACTTCAGGATTTCATCCACAGTCTCAAAAGTCAGAACCAACTTGTTCAGCATAATAAACAGTGCCATTGGCTTAGATAGCTTTCATTTGAATGGTCACGCAATAAGATTTCACTTGGGGGATAGGAAAAGTCAGGAGATTGGAAAAAATGAGTGGTAAAGGAAATAAATGAGCGGTACAGAGCAATACTTTCCGTGGTGCTGTTAAATATGCTACACAAGACTTTTGATCCTGTGAATGAAATTATCTTAGTTTGCGTAAGAGGTAGTCTCCTTCGCAGCCGTTATTAGGGTCGTCACGCAACGCTCCTCCCCACTTAGTGGGGAGGAACGTTGCGTGACGACCCTAATAACGGCTGCGAAGGAGACTACGTAGGAGGCAGCATTTAAACCTTTAATGTCAGTGCATACTCAAGGGAAAAGTTATGACAACTGATTAAATGATCACAAAAGAGGATACGCTTTGATCATTTATCAAATTCTCCCAACTTATTCACTAAGACAGTATATAGAGTTAAGTCTGGAGAATTTGTTTGTGGATGTTAAGACTTACGTGCTTTCAGCCCATGTAGAGTACTCAGTAGAGTCATATTTCTCTAAAACAAACGCTGGAGACACGGCTGGTGACAGATAAACTGCACCAGTCACACAAAGGCCTGAGCTCTTAAAATCTTTTCCTTGCATGGAAGCATTAACGATGCCCTAAAAAGGGGAGAGAAAGTGCCCAAGGCATTGGCAAATAAAACAACAACTATATCAGGAGAGCAAAAATTGTCCAATCAAAACCCCCTGAAGCGAAATAGTATCCTTGTTTCTACATACTTTTTGGGTATGTAATGAAATCATCTAATCACGGCAGAGGGGAGGGGGATGGGGAGGAGGGGGGGTAGGGTATTTCTAAAGCAGGATAGCAGGGATGATGAGGAGGAGAAAAGACATAGAACAAGAGAGGATAAAGGATTGCTAAAAGACAAAAGCTTGCATCAGTTGCACAATCAAAAATGAAACCTAGATGCAGAAGTAATCTGAACGGTTGGAATTATCTGTGCGTCCGCAGAGGCGGCGGAGCGTTTTGAAACACAAATTTTCCAAAATGCCCTTTGCGCTGTTCGTTGCCACCAGCAGATCTCTTTGCAATCTTCACAGTGTCTAGTGTGTCTATAAGCAGTTGTTCAGGCGATCCTTCTTCATGGTGCTTCTTGGGTAGTTCTTGGGGGGGAGGGGGATTGTTTGGCAGAGCTTCCCCCAAAAGTTTTGTGTCCTGCTTCCCCTTCTCCGCCGCCTATGTGGGAAGATAGACAATCTTGCACCTTGCGGTCTTGAGAAAACAAGATACTGATTTAGAGCCTAACTATAACCCACCTCATCTACACTCCCAGAACATTCTCCACTCTTAAAAGGCGACCGGTCACCAGTAAAATACAGAAGAAGATAATAAATTGCCGAAGTAAATATGTTGTCAGAGCTGCTAACACTGACATAGCGTGGAAATGGTTCCGTATCTGTAAGCGAAAACACAACAGTCAGTGATTTCATATCTGAACATGCTGTATTTATTTAGCTGTGAAGATACACCTGTGGGTCTGATAGTTCACAAAATTAATGTCTTGTTGAAACTTTTCTCCGTTTTCGACATCACCTTTCCTGCCTCCGTACAATTTTTTTAAGGGGCTTTGCTTTCTCTTGGCAGGGAACTGGTATCTATTTTGCCTCACTTTGAGGTTCCTTCCACAACGCTTCCTTGTGCTCAGAAGTGATGGTCTCCTTCAAGGATTTGATCATAGTCCACATCCTTAGTGGATTGTTTTTGCTGCATCAAAACTCTCTTGACTGGATAAACTAAAAATTCCCCCTTTATGTTTGAACAGGCTAGGTCATGATGATATTTCTGGTTTAGGTCAACTCTGTGCTGAGTCATTCATCTGTGCCTTAACCCATGCACAAAATGCTGTTGTAGAGTTGTGAAGAACATGTCAAACAAATTTCACCAGGGAGCAAAGCCTGCGTAGTAGGCATCGAAAGGGATAGGGGATAGGGAGGAAGGGATAAAAGAGGGGGATTGGAGAGAGATGGTAAGGAACGCCTGCTATAAGATCAAAATTTCTCCCATCATTTAGCACTTCCCTTCCCTTTTTCCCTCTTTCGCGCTTTTCTCCCTCCCCCCTCTCCCTCCTCTTTTTGCGCTTGATACGCAGGTTACAGGGAGAACTAACCATAGCAGTGTTGTGGTCATTTTTGCAGGCATAGTTTTAAAACTTGAAAAAGTTGCCCCAACTTTTCCAAGTTTTAAATGATGTCCATCCTTGCCATCAGTAGCAACAGCCCACAGGAAAACGTTTCAATGCTTAAATATAGCATTAAATAAGAAAACCGTACCAATTTTTTTTTGGAATTCAATTGATGGGAAAAAAGATAACAAATTCTTGGTTTGCAACCACGTGACAAGGCGGCCATGTTGGGGGTCAAAACAAAAGAATATTTCCTGGAAGAATGTACATGAAAATAGAGTTTAGTTCCCAGAGGAGAGAAATGCTTTTGTTCTTGACCACCAACATGGCCGCCGTGACGTCACGTGCAAACCAGCAATAGTGTGGCTTAGCCTCAAATTTCTCCTCAAATTTTACTTGATCTCAACAGCAGCAAATTGTGATTGCACAAGTGAATAAAAGAAACAATTATTATCAAACATAAGAACCATGTACTTACAGTCCTTCAAGGAATTCCACGACTTGCTGGAAAAGACCTCTCTGTAAAGAGGGCAGTTGGCGCGAACGAAGAAGCAGTAAGCAAGATGACCAATCTGTGTGGACAAAAAAAACATTTAACCTCAGTCCCGGTTCAGACGCCGTACTTTTCATGAGCCGAACCTAATACATTGAATTAAGTACATGAAAAGTTCGGCGTATGAATCAATTAGGAACACAGGTCTGTTTCAATTTGGAACGGCTCAGCCGTTTGTTTCGCCTAGCCTGGCCGGGAATTTTGCCTTTGGAACCACTTTGGAACGGCTTTGATTCAGACGCCGAACTTTTCATGTACCTAACCTAATGCATAAATTATTATAACGTTTTTTTCTAAGCAGTTTGACCGAAATGAGGATATTTCTCCTCTTGAATTTAGTTCGGCTGGAATTAAGATCGGCGTCTGAATCAATTCAGCCGGTCCAAATAATTTAGGTCGGTCTTAATTCGAATTAGGTTCGGCTCATGAAAAGTACGGCGTCTGAACCGGGCCACAGTCACTGAAGTCCAGTAAACCTTCAATACCATGAGTGCTGACAGATCACAGAGAAATCCATGGAGAACAAAGAGAGTATAAAGAAGAACTGGATATCAGATAGAATTCTGCCGCATTTCTCTACAAGAACATCTGACAATTGAGGAAGACAGTGTGTATTCAATATTCAGATACCTCAAAGTTACTCATTCAACAGAGAAGAGTTTCGATATTGGATGAAACACTGTGGCCTTTATTCAAAGACCCTTCTCCACACAACACTGACCTCCTCTAAACACACTCATGTTTATAATGTATGGATCTAAAATTCATTAATTATTCATGCAGTCAAAAAGTCAATAACTGACGACCATTGGGGTCAGGTGGATGAATCTTGATATATTACTTGAACCTCCACGTGCAACCACCTTTCAAAAGCAACCACCCATATAGAACACCACAATTTTCTCAGTCAAATTACTTTAGATAGAGCCTCTCGTAAACAACCATCTCTTGTAAGACACTGCAATTATTTTTGAGGTGTCAGTTTAATAGTTTTTCCATTATTTTTCTTCCTATAAGCCATCACTTGATATAACAGTCTGATCTCCATGTTCACTGTATCTGATACCCTCCTCCGAGTACCTGAAGTTCTAACGTTGAGTGGAACTACAGAGCAACACATTTTGTAACTTGGAAATTGTATGCAATGAATTCTTCTTTAAAAGGTACAATCACGGACAAACGTCTTAGGACACTTTTGCATTTCTGGGGCGTTTTTCAATTCACACAGGTCCAACCCCTCCCCTCACCCCACAAACAATGTTGGATACGTGTATCCAGAATCTTTTCCGAGTTTCAACTTTGTATAGGGTGGGGGAGGGAGAACTGCAAGAACATTTCGAAAGAATGCACTGTTTTAAGAGGAAGCCAAGGAATGATAGAAAAATATGAATATTGCAGTACTGTCCCAAGGACTTTTGTCCAGGATTGTAGGTACATATTAAAGGACATGGATATGGGCCGGGTTGTGCAAAGCTGGGTTAAGATGACCCAGTGTTAGTGCGAAATTTGAACTCAGATATGAGAGCTAAAAAGTTTCATTCTCTTTGCCTACAATTTGATGAGTGGATGCACTAAAAAGAATAGAGAAAATTATCAGAGAGAGTGCTTTTGATAAAAAGAAAAAGAAACCCACGTTAAAATTTAACCCTGGGTTAGCGCTTACCGGCATTCAAACAACTTGGCCCTGGTTTATTCTTATAAGCAACCAACTCCTATAAGCTGCCCCTGAATCTTTGCATGTTGTGCGGTCACTTATGGTAAGTTCGGTTATACTTTCAAGTAGCAAAGAATCTTGGTGAAACTGTATCTTAGTAAACTAACAAGACACTTACCACAGCTTCTGTATCATTGTCTGCATTAATTTCATATTCAGGAGGTTGACTATCATTTGCCAAAATATACAGAGTTCTGGCTAATGTTGCAGCAATCTTTGCAAGTTTCTACAATGAAAGACATCCAAGTCAAGGCCTTTGGTTTCACCCACGAGTTGGAACTCTTACCATTAGTTACAACTGGTTGGCCATGGCCATGAACCCATTTGTAAAATAATTCTGTTCAAAAACTGAATCATTGGATATTGCAATTCTAGAGCTCTGATTGGCTTAGCCATCATGGTATATGAGCCATTGTACCATGCTCTCCAAGTATGGTAACTATGCCCACTGCTCAAACTTAAAAACTAGCTGAAAATCGGTTGTTTTTAAAGTCTGAGAGAATTCTTGATATTTTGTGCATTTTTGATAAAACAATTATTTCACTTGCACTTGTTGGATATGAGATGATTATAGCCAAATCAGTGCTAAGCGCCTTGTTGGCTATCTATGGATATTGCAATTCTAGAGCTCTGATTGGCTTAGCCATCATGGTATATGAGCCATTATACCATGCTCTACAATTAGTATGGTAACTGTGCCCATCTGCTCAAACTTAAAAACTAGCTGAAAATCGGTTGTTTTTAAAGTCTGAGAGAATTCTTGATATTTTGTGCGTTTTTGATAAAACAATTATTTCACTTGCGCTTGTTGGATATGAGATGATTATAGCCAAATCAGTGCTAAGCGCCTTGTTGGCTATCTACCATCTCATAACCAATGCGCTCTTGGAAAATTGTTAAATACTACCAATAGTAGTGTTGGTGTTTCAGTGACACCTCTCCGAAAAAGCTTATTTTGTTTTCAAGATTTTCGATTTTGTTTTCAGTTTCTGGCAAGCAGCTTTTAATTATAGCAAAGAAATTAATTCCTCGGCTGGATTTGGCTGGTTGAAAATGTTTCATTCTATCTGAAGCACTTCTCAGATCTGGGTAGTGACGCGTCACCAGTACTCATTCAGAGCTGTCATTAAGGGCCGTAACCCATAAACCCGAGTACAGCTGAGCTCACCTTGATGTTACAGGTGATCAAAGTAGGAAGCTAAAGGTGGCACTATAAATTTTTGTATTATGTTACAGTTGAATCTTCATTTGCTACAGCTGCTTAAAAACTTAATGACAGAACTGTCATTCCTCAAACGTCATTTCACAGGGAAACCAGTGGTGACATCATAAGATGTCAGCTGTTTTCTCAGGCTAACAAAATCTCAGCTTCATAACTAAACTACGAGCAGCCTCTCTTTTCCTTCAGATTTAGTAAGGGGAGTGCACCCGCACGTGAGCGTTGAGCAGCCAAGCTGCGAGACATGAGAAACGACTGCCTCTCCCATGTCGCGCCTTCAGTCACGTGCGTGGTCATTTGAATGTCTCGGGTGTTTTGCTCGATGGACCAAGAAAAAAGAAAGACTGCTCGTAGTCTACTTCATAACATACTTGTAAGAAAAATATCTGTGTTTAGGGTTAACATAAAGCAGGCAAAGTTACAGAAGAGAGGCAACGAACACCTCCACAAAACATTTTTGGAAAGTGTACTCTTACAGAATTGACCATTCAGAAAGGGTGGACTGTATTTTTAATATGAAAATTAAACACATACCTTTGTAAAGTCATTTAAAAGATAAACTGTATCATTCTCCTTTGAGAAATTGCCTCCTACTTGGTAGAGGTCATCAAAGTGACTATTATAGAATCTGAAAATGCGAGATCAGTAGGTTAGTTTGAGAAGAAACTAGTGACCACGTTGACAGATTTGGACACGGGAGTCACTTCATGAGTAGGTCAAGCATGATTATCCAGGTGAATGTAGTCCTGAATAGGACTATTGCTAACAGTGACTGACATTTTGACAACCTGTGCAATAGTCATATGATTATTATAAATAAAAACATTATAGTGATGGCTTTATGAGGGTCAGAGAAGTTTAATTTGACAACGCTTATGTCCTTCTTTATCTGAATTCTTTGGTTTTTTGTTCTAGTTAAAGAGGTATTTTATTTTAACAGCACAACCCACTTAATTTGGACGCTTTCTCTGGTCCCTTCCGTAATAACAGGGTTTGACTGTTATTCTTTTCTCTGGTCCCTTAATGTATGTAGATAACAGGGTTTGACTGTTATTCTTCAAGGAAATTTATGGATTTAATCAGTCTCTGGAGAATATAGGGATGATCAAGATAACAAAGCTCAAAACAAAAATTTTTAGGGCTGACAACAAAACCAAAACAATGGTTGGACCAAAACAATCAATCAATCAATCAATCATTCAACTTTATTTTTAATCCCAAGCTGGTTTTCAGACATGCCGTGTGATTTTACAATTTATAAAAATTGACTAGTGGATAACAATACAATATAACAGCAAGAAATAAGGGAAAAACTAAAAACATGATAAAAAAAATTCTTAGGGTTTCCAACAAAACCCAAAACAATGACAGTTGGACCAAAAACCGATAAGAAAATGAGCGCTTGAGAAAATTTGTTTTAGGCAGTGGTAGTTGGTACCCGCTCAAAAATCTCATGCCAAATTTCCAAGCCTTAAAAATATACAGAAAGCATTAAATGATTTGATACGAAAAATGAAAAACAACATTATGCCCAGGGATACTGGGGTACTATGGGTGCTGGATCCAGACCTTGAGATAAGGGGGGGGGGGGTCTTCAAAAAAATATTTTTTGGCCCTTTGGGCCTCAGTTTGGTCTAAAATAAATGGGGGAGGCCAGACCCCCCGGGCCTCTCCCTTGGATCCACAACTGAGTTTGCATGACACAAATGTTTCTTACTTGTTTGAATAGTGCTCTTTATGATCTGTAAGTACAACCCCAGGAATCTTCTTATCAGATCTCAAGAATCTTTGAAATGATGCAGGTGGCAAAGGCTGTGTAGTATCAGGTTCACTGACATTCAAACCATATAACCTTCCAGCATTTTGAAAAGCCTTAAGCAGATCCTTTACCTGAAAAAGCACATTGCATTTGCCAATAGAAATTTCAGTCAAAGTTGAAAAAAAGTGGGCGTGAATTGCAGACAAAATAAACCCCAGCTAGTATGGATCATTGTACATTTCTGGGAAACTGCCCACCTACCCCTCCCGTAAGCCAATATTTTGCACTAAGTGAATGTAAGTGTTAATGTTGGGTTAGGGGAGGGGTAGGTGATAGTAATATCCACAAAGCAGTGCCAAGATCTGTTATCTGGATCCCCACTTGTCTCAATGAATTCCCTGATCTATGTTTTAAATTTCCCTACCACCTGATTGGCCAATTGAACAATGGCATTTTCAACAGGCCAATCAAAGGGCACACTGAAATCCTGGAACACAGCCAGGGAGCGCAGAACAGGGATTTTGGTGTTGGCTTGCAGACAGACTTAACCAGAGGTTTATCTTCGTCTGTGGTGCAAGCTGAAATAAACCATGAACCCTTGTAAAATTCCAGGAATGTTGATTGTGTAGTGACCAGGAACAAGAATGACTAGGGCACCCAGCAGATCACAGAACTAAACTATTTTCTTTTGGTGTTTATGGTTTGGATTTTTTAATGCCTAGTGGGCTTCAGAATAACATTCCAGATATATTTCTAAAAATTAATGTTCCAAGTCTCACAGTAATATCAAGAAAGATGTTTCATGTACGATTACTTTCAGTATGACACAAAAATTTATATGGATGCGAGCTGCTAACACTGAATGAAAAGCTACTAGTAAGTTCATTTATTGCTATTAAAAAAAAATAGAAACATCCTTGGCTCAGTGTTCCCTCATCACTAAGTGGCAAGACAAGCTTGTGTTTCACCTACTTGACTTCCGGTGTTCTTTATTGACACTGGATCAGAATGGACCCACAAAGGACCATCATCGTCTATCAACCCTACTTGGTTAACTTCTATAAAGTACTTGATATTTGAAGTCTCCATCGTGAAATTCTTTTTTTTGGAACGTCCAACCTAAGAAAAATATTGTTTGGAACAACAAAACAACATCAGTGAGTAAACTTTTTTTTATTTCCTTGGACTGGATAATATGTTTTAGTAAAATCCAACTAGTGGTCTACTATCAATGCTGCATTCTCATTGGTTGAGCTACTACTAGGCTATATGTTATAGCCCACTTGTAGCGAAAAGTGCCAGCTTTAAAAACCAAAACAATGGTGGCTTAATTGCGTTTTGCTAGCTAAAGTTGTTTCGTCTCGATATTTTTGACCAACTAGTTGGATTTTACTAAATCAATTATTCCTCTCGTCCTCACGGCCTTTGAGTCAACAGCCTATTCGGCCTTCTGCCTCATGGGCTATTGACTCAGAGCCCATTCGGACTCAAGGAATAATTGTTAAATAGACCATACCCCCCAATTCTTAAGAACAAAGGCATCAGCTCAATGCTTGGGTTGACAGAATAAACAATACATGTAGAGTGATAAATATAAATTTGTCTACCAAAGTCTTGTCCTTCTTATATTTTGTGTGTCCACTGTGAGCAAAGTGTGGGAATTGCCTTTTTTTTTCCTAGTGTAATACCATCAGGGTTGTACTCTACACGTAGTAGCATCTTATTACCCAGACACCTTACTGTATCTTTGCTCTTGAGCCACGAGGACATAGATCTTCCTTTTTTCATAGGAAATCTGTGGTGGGGAACCTCAATTTTAACAGTTCAAATCAGGGGACAGTATTTATATGTACCAATGTATTTGTTGTTCTTTATCCTCACTTTCACATTTTTAATTATCATAATTACGGTCACCCAACTAGTTTACTAGTTTAGATTTTTAGTTATTTTGGGTGTCCCACTGTTGTATGTACTGTTTATTCATAATTATATTCTTGTAATTCTTTTAGTTGTATACAGTAGTAGAAATAAACTGTTGTTGTTGTGGGCTCCCCTCAAGTTTTCTTAGAGCACTGCCCTGACCAAGAATGGCTGCACCTGACATTTTATCAACAAGTTCAAAAATTTTTATGAAAATTTGTACTAAAGCTAAATGAAAAAATACCAGCATTACAGTGAACTGGTTTCATGATAAACATAAACTCCATTTAATGTGTGATACATTTTTATGTAGAATCCCTGGAAATATCAACAACAGTAAACACTCAATACTCATTTAGAAAAGAACAGATTTTCATTTCCAAATATATACAGATTTATATTTTCCAAATAGCAGATTCTCATTTCACCAAGTACAGATTAATAATTGCAAAGTAGAGATTTTCATTTTGTTTTGTTTCGTGAATTAGGGGCAGATGGACAAGGCGATTAATAAATAATATTAAACAAATGGACAAACGAGCTGGCATACCTTCCATGTTTGATCATCTGAAGGAAACTTATTACGCACCATATCATATACCATTCGAGATGAGCCAATGTAATCCCAGCTTTCCTGTAATGAGGGGTGATAGGGATTATTGCATGATAAAGTGCTGCTACTTTCCCTCTTTCAAATCTAGACTAAAAGCATTTCTCCTTAGCTGAATCAGATAATGTAGATAACATAAAATACCGAGAATAAGCCACGGGGCTTATATTTTTCAAAGGCCCTTTTTGAGGGGCTTATATCTACCAGGGTTGTCACCAAGATTTCAAGTTGCCGGGCAAATACAACAAGTGGGTGGGGAATGAAACAGCTAGGAATTTCTTTCGGTTCTATTTTTCTTTAATTTTCGTTTGAAAGTAGCCGGGGAAGACGTTCATAGTAGCCAGGGGAAATCCCCAGCCACTGCCTCTCATTGACAGCCCTGTCTACGGAGGGAAATTTGCACTTCAAAATCAATTGGGCTAGCCTTATAGTTGGAAGTAAATTTACCATTTTTGCTTTGTTTTACTTTGTATTTGAGGACAACTTTCCAAGTACAAGCCCCCGGTGGGCTTATATTTGGAGGGGCTTATTTTCGGAATTTTATGGTACCAGATGAAACATTATTCACATCAATTACCTTTTAATACTCTATATCCATATTCAAACTCTCTAGACTGATGTGCAAATTTATACATTTTCTTAACAACAACAACAACGTTTACTGTTACATCCAAATAGAGATTTTTACATGTTTTGATAGCTATTGAAAAGAAAACAAGAAATTGTTACATAAAATTATGCATTATGATAACACTAAGATGTCTACAAGCTAATTAAAAGAACATACATTTTTGTGCTAGTGCCTAGCTATAAAATGATAATTTTTACACAGTGGTAAAGAATTGATAAGCTCAGAGAAATTGACAAAAGACCAAAGCTTTTCTCGTAGATTATCATTTCATAAATTCTCCTAACCTTTTCTCTTGATGTTGTATATTTGATATGGTCAGGGGAGAATATTGATCTTGGTCGCTCTTGGGTCTTAAAGGGTCCAATACAGTATATTTTCAGGATTTTCTTCAGAGACTTACCCCGTTAAAAAGTGTAAACATAATTGGATTCTTGGGAGCTGGAAAAGACCCCTGGAAGAAATTGCATATTTTAAAGTGTCATTAAAAATCACATTCTGTCCCTACATTCATGTCTTTTCTTTGCATGTGACTTGTACATTGTATTATAAAACTAATCTTTTCATATCACACAACTAGTTTAATCAAGTTCCAGTCCTAAGAATAGAGAGATCCAAGTTTACCGCGAACCTCTAACCGCGGTTTGCGGTTACCCGTTTGCGGTTCGACGTTCAAACATAATTCGATTTAGATTGGTGGTGGATTAAAGAAGTGAATTCTGGTTTATTTTTCCATTTAGTAATAGCAGAAATATCAACCAGTGAAAATAAAAGAAATTTATGGTAACACTGGGTTATCTAGCAGCAAAGAGCTGTAAATTCTTACATTACTTCTCCTCGCAAATTTGCGGCTGCCATTTTGAATCAGCAGCCACGAACGGCACTTGTTTTCAAGATCGAATAGGATTTATCAAATTTAGGATTTCGCCCAAATTTGCGCCTCTCTTAATGGATAAAGACTTGCTCTGCAAGATTTTTGTATCATTACGTGCGATAAAACAAGAATTATACGCTAAAAGCTTTCAGGTAAGTGAAAACCTACCTCCCCACATTGAAAACGCATGTCGTAAACCTCAAACGTGACGCAAAAGACTTGTCACGTGACCTCCAGCGGTTAGAGGTTCGCGGTAAACTCGGATCTAAAACTCTCTACTAATATTGCATGGGATCTTTTCCTGAGAGCATTTGAGGCTGACGTAACATCCCACTGGTGACGAAAATTCAACTTCTCTCCAGTTAGGGTTTAAGGTGCATTTTTTTTCCGTTCTGTATTTTTAACAGAAAAGTCAAGATAACAAGACTGGAAGATGAGTTACAGTTGTAAATAGCAGGCCATTTCTGAGGTTGCCCAAGGGCAGTTTCCATTCGACCCAAAATTCTAGAAATATTTCGGTTTAGTTTGGTCCGACCAGAATATTTGAGACCAGTTTTGAAGGTGGTCCACTTTGACTGGTCTGGTTATCTCAGTTGGTCGGACCAAAATGTCCCTATCCCAAGTACCATTATTTTGTATTCTGCTTACAAGAACAATAACCATATATGCTGTGGCTTGGGTCAGGTGTGTAACCCAAAATGTATCGTTCCGTTCAAAATTTCAAACCGGAATTTTTGTTTTAAAGTGAGGCTACAATCTTGGACAAAATAGATAACAAAAAATTTGAATCTGACTCCCTCCAAATCAAGGATGGGGAAAAAGGTGTGTTTTAGCTCTCACACAGCTTCATCCTTGACTTGGGGGTGGGGGTTTACTACATCATTTTATCATTTACTACATCATTTTATTCTGTCCAAGATTGTAGGTACAAAGTTTTTGACATGATATTGATTTTTTACCTGCAGACAAATAAAACTCATCTTCACAAGAACAGTTTTGCACTTAAACTTGTTTTGAAAGTGAGAATTTTTGGAACTCAGCCTATTAGACCCAGTCAACAGGCAAACAAAAAGACTATAGTCAGCACTGCATGATCTTATTATTTTGTTTTGTAAAGGTGAGCAAAGCCTACTTACATTTCTTTTCATATCTCCTAACAACTTTGCAGCAGCTAACAATACAATGATACCAGTACCATCATTTTCAACTCCTGGTGTTAAATCATGAAAGAATGAACTGGAATCCAGCTATATAAGGTAAAGGTATTGAGCACAGTTAAACACTATTGATATCACGTTTTCCGATAATTATTCCTTGGTTTCAAAATTTCAATTGAGCCTGAGTTTCCACAGTTCCAGACAAGGTATACAAAAATAACTTTGGTTTGAAAAGTTTAAAACCAAAACTTTAAATTCACCATAAAGTCACATCAAATATGATTGAGCCACCTATAAGTGTTCTTATAGAAAAAAGCTTAGTGCTTTATGTTAAATAAATACAGTCGAACCTCCCGTAAGCGACCACCTACAAAGCAAAGATTTAGAGGTTGTTCATGGGAGGTGGTCGCTTACAAGAATTGAACAACAGGGGTTCTTTTCTGAGTAGAGGTACCGGAAGATATATTTTTTGAAGGAGAATATATTGCATGCAGTTTCCAAGTTACCATAATTAAGTTCTGTTATAACTATAAGCTTTTTGTATTCTCTGAGAAGCAAAGTATATATGCAACAACGAGATCAGACTCTGCGGCTGCGGTCACCTCAGACAGGTGGTCATTTACAACAAGAGATTTCAACTGTAGAAAATTGAATGGGAAAATTTTGGTGTTTTAGATAGGTGGTCCCTTATAAGAGGTGATGATTACACAAGGAGGTTGGATTGTATTCAGGCTTATAACTACTGTACAGAGACAAAAAGGATTAATTTATAGCATTACCTTTGCAGCAACCATCACCACCTCCTTCTCAGCCAAAGGTTCTTTTATAGGGTACAGAGTTCCCCAGACATTCTGATCTCCTAGAGACTGGCAAAACTCACCTACAATGTAAGTAGAAAGTAAAATTTAATGTTAATGCCTAGCTAGCCCAAAATAGGAAATTTCATTCACAAGGTAAAGAGTCCATATTTTATGTCAGCAGCTCAAAATAGCCATCGCGCTAACAATCCGCAGGCCGAAGGGTGTGCTCATTTTACCCCCCTCCCCCACCCATTTCCATCAGTGCTCTGTTTTAAGGGCGTTTAAAGCTACTTGAAGCTACACAGAAAAAAAAGAAGTCAAAAGAAGGATTTACGGGCACTAACCAACTGCACTAATCTTTCCTTTCCACAGGCATTTAAGGCAGCACAGAAAGCTACAATGAATAATATATATAAAGCGAAAAGAATACTCTTTCCACAAACAGATAATCAGATCTTCTTGAAGACTTACTGCCTGTAGGGTTTGGCATTTTGGTTTTCCTTATACATGTTGGAGTATCTTTGGCAGCATACATGAAATCTTTTAGCTCAACAGCACACAGTGGGTAATCAGGTTTTGCTTGGCTGTTGTGCTTCTGGTAACACTGTGGTCAAAACAAGGTACAGTAACTGTTAAAATGATTAAATTCACATTATTTGTGTGACAAAGAATTTAGCAGGAAAGTACTAATTTAGGACACTACTCTTATGTCTCGGACAAGAGACAAGATGGCCACCTCAGAGCCATGCATTTCTGAGTTATTTCAAGACTCTGGGTATTGGTCCAGCCCTGGGAATCGAACCAGTGATTTTCCACTCTGTAGTCAAGCGCTCTGCAGACTGAACTGATCCTGTTACAGTTAATGGCATGGATACATTAGAAAAACTATAAAATAAGCAAAAAAAGTACTTCTTGTCCTGCATCAATAGGCAAAAATTATGGGATGCAACTAACACAGATTTTCTAGGTAGGCCTAAGTAGAAGGCCAATTTTGAGGTGACTCACACAAAGGATTAAGATTTTGCAGGTGTTGGAATGTCGTCTGCACAGTTATACAGGTATGTATGGAAAAATTGCTGGACAACAAGATGTGCAGGGTTGCAACTTGAAACCTACAAAGAATTGCCCTTTTAAGAGTAAATGGCAGTTACATTGAAAAATTCAATTATGAACATGAAATTTTTTCCAAGTAATTATGCTGTACTAGCATCCTTTAGACCAATATAAACCCAGATTCTGCAATTGAATTACTATACATTAGACTAAAAACAGATCACAGCAAGCTATTTTTACAGTTTCTGGCTTCTACCTCTACAAGATCTGTCACTTCTTTCTCGTCAGTGAGAGCAAACATTGGAATATCATAGTACTTAAAAGACATGCCGGTACCCTGCAAACAACAAAAACATAAACTGTGAACTAACAAACAAACAAACAAACAAAAAGTAAAGGAGCTAACATGGACAAATTACAAATTAGTAATGAGTAGTGGGTTGAAAAATAAGATGTGGACTAGTACAAAAAATATTTTTGTTTTGCACAATTTTAGGGTATTCTGGACATAGCACCATGAAACACTTTTCAGCAGCATCTCTCAAAATTATTTGATCTGTGAACATTAACAATATCCTAGAACAGGGTTTACAGAGACTCACGTCTTTTAAGCGATCTCTCAAAACATACTTTTTTAAGATAGCTTTTTAATTGACTTATTCATTTATTTTCAAGTTTTTATTTTTATCTGTTTTTATTTTATTTTATCATTTTATTATTTTTTTAACATAGAATTTAATCAACTTATATTTTTATGATAGCTTTTAATTATTTTGACTTATTTATATCTTATCGTCTGTTATGTGCATATGAAAATATTTCTACTGTATGAGCAATATAAGTTTTACATTTATAATTATTATTATTCATTAATAATAATTATAAATACACAAGTACACACTATTGAGCTCTTCAAATTCCATGACTTTTCCATTTTTCCACGACTTTAGGTTTAGCACACACTTTCAAAAAATTTCTAAACTATTCTTGTTTTGGGGGATTTTTTTGCCTAACTCAGTTCAACAAACACAAAATCTGTATCTTACTTTGTCTTTGTTTTGACATTATTGTAGTATAAACTAATCTACCAAACAAAAACTTATTTTTCTATGACTTTTAAGGACCAACAATATTATTAAATTCCTTGACTTTCCAGGCCTAGAAAATGAAATTCTTAAACTTCGTGACTCTCAAGGTTTTCTATGACCGATACAAACATTGTTGAATAATGATTTAAAAGTATAGTTCACAACATTTTGAGGTAACAATAGTATCGCAGTTCCAATCTTTTCATGGCCTTTTTTCTTCACAAATTTGAGAATACAAGAGAGAGATGAAATTTGATTGTCCAGATTCATCCTTATAATTCACTTGGTCTTCAGAGTTACCTCACACAACAATCTATTAATAGTAACCATTTTGACCATGAAGCAAAATTTTTGTTGAGAAATTTTAAACTGAAATATATTTTGTGAAATTATCATAGGAAAAAGTCAAAAGTGAACCCACAAAGACGAAAGACTTTTTGTTATTCAACTAAATTGCCAGGGGAAAGTCAATATTGATTACTTACATCTTTGTTCCACTTTACTTTTCTGCAGTTTGCATAATCCTTATCACCATTATATGCCCCTGAGAACAAAACAAATATAATTTGGGTGGTCTTTCTCATTACTCTTGAAAAAAAACACAGGGAAATTTTCACAGATGACAGTAAAAATATTATTGAGAAGTAGATATTGTGTAATGACACTGTCAAAGTGCATCAAGCTCTAACATTATAGCACATGTGCTACATGTATGCCTCACCCTGGTGACTACACACACAGGGGACCATCCAGTGCAAACAAAAGAACCTACTATGCAGATCTGGACCTATCCTACTATGTTCTTGTGAACTGCCACAAAGATACACATTTCGTTTTTTCTTTCAGGGAAAGAAACTATTAACAAAAAAAAAATAGAGCACACTGACAGCAAACTGAGTCCCTAAAAGCCGCAACACTGTCACTTACCAAAACGATTGTTGGGACAAGCATAATCAGGAGAGGAACCTACAAGAAAATAAATATTACGATTATAATTTAATATACACTCAGATATGTTCTATGAACACTGGAAAGAAATATAATACTCTTAGCTCAATAACAGGATAAAAAGCACACTTTGCATGTAGGAATTAATTATTTTGTTTTTATCTCACTGTCACATATTTAAATACTGAGGACAAGTTAGTCTAAGTTTCAACCAGTAACATAGCCTTGAAAAAGTGACATAAGAGAGATGAAATAGACAAATTTAGAGAAAATGATGGACTCAAACTGTGACAGCAAGGGAGACAAGTGCAAATAAAAATTAATAGTAAAGTATCACCAAGGGCATGGATTCTTCCTCAATATGTGAAACAAAGGGTTTTGAATGGAGGGTGGAGGCAGGAGCTCTCATATGAAACAGGCAGGTATGCTCATTGAAAAACTAGAATAATGTTATTAAACTCCTAAAGAAGAGCAACCAAGGTGTGGCTCAGACTATAATTATTTGACCTGAAAGTAGACCATACTCCCACACAGTATCACAACCCTGAGGATACCATGAGGGACAAAAATATTAGCTAAATAACATTATTTTTGAACACTTTAAATGAGACCAAAATCTGCAATTTCCACCCCTAAGTGAGACAGCAAGTATCCCTGTCATTTGCATAAGGGAGTCCCTCCCCCCTGGGTTTTGAAATTCAGACTAAGGACTTACATACCCCCAACCCACCCCCAGTCCACTATAAGATGCTCTTTACACTGGAAAGTAGAACATGCAAAATATGAGAGGATTTTAAACAGCAGATATAACTTAAATGACTTAAACTGTTGAGGAATTTCAGCCAGTTTATTGCGTGGGTGTTTTGATACACAGCATCAAACATCCCCTATCCCCAATTATAAAATAACTTAGATAGTATTAGCACTTTGATTGGCCCAGAGGTGTGTTTGCATGAGAGAGTAATATAAACAGGGTTGTAATATCAAGATGTTTTGCTCTTCATGCTCTAATCACACAAGTACGAATTTGAAAAAGTTTTTGTGGTGAAGACTCAAACAACTACACTTTATTTACCCATTCCCCCATCAACTGAAACTTGGGAAATCTTCACAAAACATGCTGTGTCAATTCTTTTTTGCTTGAGCTGACATGTTAAGCGAGAAAACTCCTTATATTGGAAAGCCTCTTTTTTGCAGAACAAGAACTGATTACGTGTGCAAGACTTTTTGCACAAGACTTCATGATCGGTAAAAATTTCTCTTTTAATCAGTGCCATAACAAAGAGTTTTTTGATTTTTCTTGGGAAAGTTAATGTATAATAAAAGCAATAGGAAACTTTTTTTCTGAATTTTGCGGATCTTAGCCTGACATAAACACTCGAGGGGTTGGGAGAATTCTAGAATATGCAAACAGGGAAAACGTTTTCAATTGCTTAAACATAATTCTATAGCAAAAACACCTTAAGGAAAAACACCCCAGCCGTCTGTAACCCTACACCTTACCCTTATAGTTCAGAGACTGATGGATACCCCACAGACCCAGCTACCCTTTCTTGTCCTCCATGTGAGAGGCACCTTTAAGCACAACATTGTCCCATCAGTCACAGACAGACCCACACATCCTACATGGCGACCCCCAAGGGATGTTTCTGGACTTCACTCCCCATGATTGGCACATGTCAGATAACACACCCTGACATTTTACTTCATGCTCAAAAAATATTAATAAAATTCTTGTGCGTTACTTTGCCAAAACACCTTGCTGCATGGTACATTGACTAGATCAGGCTTCAAACCATAAGAAATAAAGAAGTCTGACGTTTTAAGACATCAATAACAAAGAAATGATTAAAGAAGGTGTGAACCGTTTTCTGGAGTATATCTGTATTTTCCAGATGGGACAGCTATTGCCAGGGCTCCACTGATCTTGTTTTTGTCCTTCAGTCGTTTAAGAAGACGTCTAAAAAAAAATTACCCGTATGAATAGAAGTGAGGTTTGTTTCAATGACTACATAGTTCTAATAAAACTTAAAATAAATAATTCAACAATGAAATTTAATACAGGAAACAACTACAAGTGCAATCTCGTGCTGTTGGCCAGCAGTAGATTTGGTGGTACAGGCACAGTTAGCCTTGCTTGCATCAGCTCCATGTGCTTGGTACAGCATTCTGTGCCACTGGGTTTGTTTAGCCTTTCATTTAGATCTTGTGTTTACTTTTTTTTCCCACTGATTAGTTGATGTGGTGGGTGTCTAGTCCTGTTAAAATGGGGAATCCAGGGGGGGTACTTGGGTTAATGTTTGCAGGGTATGTGCCGCTGGCCTCTCAGAGCCCTACCCCATTATAGTCTACTTTTTGGCCAATTATAGACCCCATCTTAGTCACTTTTTGGAAAATGTAATTTTCATGATCCCAACGTAGTCACTTTCTATTTATGCATCTACCTTACCAATGTGGTTCCAGGTGGTGGAATGTAATGCAGTCAATGCAAACTTATTGTTAAATTTAATAAACAACAACTTTCTGATTTTTTTAACAGAGAATCTCCCCATTTTGAATCCCTACTTACCCCCAAAATCCGAAAATTTGTGACCCCATTCTAGTAAATCTATTGAAAATGCGACTCCATTATAGTCAATCCAGTCATGAAAATGCGACCCCATCCAGCGGCACATCCCTATCAGCCTCTTGTAAGGGAGTACCACCCCCGGGGAGAATCGTGGCTGAGATGTGCAGAATCACAACTCATCAGGACACACAGCACCAAGGGGCTGGATGTGCCCAAGTGGAAGTCCCTGGACATACACCCAGCTCTACTAAGAGCTCTACTGGACAGGCACCCAGCTCTACTAAGCGACACAGTTGTTAACGATACTTACAAGTCAAAAAGGTCCGATCTGAACAATGGAATGTAAGGTGCATGAATTCCATTTTCTATGATCCAATCAACGTCTGTTTCATTTTCAATATAGTGAAGCACTCCAACATGGCCATACATACTAGCTGTAATTTAAGTAACGAATGAAAAACATAATCATATACGTCATGTAATATACCATAAAATTCCGAAAATAAGCCCCTCCATGTATAAGCCCCTCCAAATATAAGCCCCCCAAAATCGTAATGCAAAAAACCCTCCATTAAATCGCCCCTTCGAATATAAGCCCCCCGGGGGGGCTTGTACTTGGAATTTGCCCTCGAATACAAGGTTAAACAAAGCAAAAATGGTAAATTTCCTTCCCACTGCAAGCTACCCCAATAGATTTAGAAACGCAAATTTCCCTCCGTATATAAGCCCCTCCGAATATAAGCCCCTCCAAAAATAAGCCCCTCAAAAAGGGCCTTTGAAAAATATAAGCCCGGGGCTTATTTTTGGAATTACACTAACCCTTTAAGTGCCAATAGTGACCAAAAATAATTTTCTCCTAATAATATCCATACATTGTCAAGAGATAAAGTTATGAGAATTAATAAAATGATCACCAAAGGGAGAATGCCATGATCTTTTATCAAATTCTTTCAAGTAATTCTTAAGAAAATCTATGGAGATCAGTTTGGAGAATTTGTATGTGGATAATTATTGGGGCTTAAAGGGCTAAAGGGAAGAACCCAGTCCTTTGCAATAAAGGAGTACATGTAGTAGCTTGCATCGTAGACATAATTCAACCTCAGTTAGTAACATCTGTGAAGCAGCATCGAAAATCCTTGTTCTGGGCTTCCAATGGACTCAATGAATTACCAAAGAAGCATTTTGAATTTCCTTTCAACCTGTTTGACAAATCCACAATGGCTTTCTTCACAGGCCAGTCATGGCGCAACCTTAAATCCTGACTCAATGAATTACCAAAGAAGCATTTTGAATTTCCTTTCAACCTGTTTGAGAAATCCACAATGGCTTTCTTCACAGGCCAATCATGGCACAAACTCAAATCCTGACTCAATGAATTACAAGAAAAGTGTTTTGAATTTCCTTTCAACGTGTTTGACAAATCCACAATAGCTTTCTTCACAGGCCAATCATGGCACAAACTCAAATCCTGACTCAATGAATTACAAGAAAAGCATTTTGAATTTCCTTTCAACGTGTTTGACAAATCCACAATAGCCTTTTTCACAGGCCAATCATGGCACAAACTCAAATCCTGACTCAATGAATTACAAGAAAAGCGTTTTGAATTTCCTTTCAACGTGTTTGACAAATCCACAATAGCTTTCTTCACAGGCCAATCATGGCACAAACTCAAATCCTGACTCAATCAATTACAAGAAAAGCGTTTTGAATTTCCTTTCAACATGTTTGACAAATCCACAATGGCTTTTTTAACAGGCCAATCATGGCACAAACTCAAATCCTGACTCAATGAATTACCACAGAAGCGTTTTGAATTTCTTTTCAACCTGTTTGAAAAATCCACAATGGCTTTCTTAACAGGTCAATCATGGCGTGTACTCAAATCCTGGTACACAGGTGGGGACCCACAACAAGGATTTCGGCACTGTTTTGCAGACAGACTTAACCAGAGTTTAGTTTCGTCTGTGGCACAGCCTACATGTAAGGAGTAGCTGCTATCATTAAATTTTATCCTTACCTTTCAATACATATACAGTTGACTCCCGATAACTCGCACCCTCGCAACTCAAACCTTGCACTAACTCAAGCCAAAATCAATTTCACGTGGATTTCCGTCATACATTAATTTACTGTAATTTTACCCTCGATAACTCGAACCCTCAATAACTTGAACCTCCCGCTGTTAACTCAAAGTAATTTTTGTTTCCCCTCAGATCATTTTGACATTATTATACCCTCTATAATTTGAAGCATGTTTTAAGCCCTTAAAAAGTCTGGAAAAAACAGTGTACTGGCGTCCGAAACATTGAATTTTGAATTTCCCATTGATGTGTTGCATGCATATAGTTTACTAGTGGGGTGATGTTGTTTGTCACAATTAAGTTGTGTGTTGTTTGTCACAAGTAGTTGTAAGTGTAATCAAATGGTAAAAAGTAAAATTGGGGAACAACTTCACATGCATTTTGTCCAATATCACGGGTGACAAATTATGCTCATAATCATTGTTTTTTACTGGTTAATTGCATCGAGAACTCCAGGCACTGAAAAGTTTAGCGCATAAAGTTTGTTTCAATTTCACAATTTTCTGAAATTTTCAACAAAATGCCTGTTAGAATCCTTCTTGATGTGCTCTTTCATGTGTTAGGTTAATTTCTCAAGTGTCTTTTAATGCACTGATATTTTCGTTCATAACATTCTAAAACCTTGACACCATTTTGGCACTGAAACATACAGAATGTTGCCATAGAAATTTTGTTTTCATTCATTTCAAAATTGTTACAGGTAAACATTTTGAGAAAAAATACAACAAGTGGTATTTATGCCAAATATCACTACAAATCATGCTATTATTTGTTTATACCACTACCTGCAAAAGGTTTGTAATTTTCACATGTAGGTATTTCAAATTAAGCTGAAATACCACTGCTCTAAGCCAATCAAATTGCAGAAATTTCTCCTGTAGTAGTATAAGTGTTGAAATTTCATGCCAAAGTTACAAAGAAATTTGTCACCCATGAGATTAGAGTTCATTACTACACTCTGTACTAAGAAGGCAGTGTAATCCAGGTTACTTACAGGTACAGCCAATTTGATGTGTAGCATTTGTTAGGATGACACAAGGTTTTATTCCATAAAGGTCTTGATAAATTTTCTGAGCAACCTTATCTCCTGCAGCTGTTTAAAATAATTAATCAAACCATCATTATCATCAGATGACAATAAAAATATAAATATGTGTTATCAATCATATGTGAGGTAATAGTGAGGTAACAATAAATGTGCAGTATAACAGTTGAACCTCCTGTAAGCAACCACCCAAAATCAGGGCTGTCAACATGTCTTCAAATATTGAGAACTGATGGGGAAGGGGGATGATAGATGACATCATAATGCATGGCAGATTACGAAATTTGTGAAAAAAAAAGACACGCGAAAAAGATTTTGTTGGAATTGTAACATTTGACCTAACTGGTTTACTTCCCACCAAACACATTATTGCTTATATTTTAATGGCATACCGGAGTTTGTGAGGAAACGTTCAATGTTAACAGTAAAATAGCTCAAACAATGCAAAATATTTGAAATTTCATTGTCAGAAAGTCGAATCTACAAGAAATGGCTAACTTTGGTGATTATCCGGGAGATTTGAGACTCTAATCTGAAGACCGGGAGGGACGGTTCAAAATCTGGAGTCTACCGGATTATCCGGGAGAGTTGACAGCCCTGCAAAATTTAAAAATTTGGTGATCACTTATGAGATTCGACAAACAAGAGGGTCTCTTCCGGGAAGAAGTTTCAACACATCTAATTCTTGGAAGATAATTTATCTAAGTTCAATATGTATCAGAATAGTTCCATGTTGTCTCCGAAAGTTATTCTTGTACATTTTGCGGCGTACTACATAAAGCAAACAGAGAACACATCATGCATCAAGTGGTCGCTTGAAAGAGGTTAAAAACAATGGTAAATAATAAAACCAAACGTGGCTTTAAGATAGACAAGTCGAAAGCTAAACAAGTCAGTTGTCAAAATTTGCCAAAACCATGCACAATTTTGGCCTGCTTGAAGAAGACTTGATTACATTTAAAATTTCCGTTTTGGTGACATGAACTAAAACTATGCGATCTATATATTGTTGTAAATTAATAACCCACTCACCAGCGTGAAAAAGGACAAGACATAAGCTTACACAAATTGTCCAAACTGCCGGTTTGGTCGCCATATTGAAGGTCCTTATTTTCCCAGAAGGACTTTGGGTCGTGCATATTTTCTTCGAGGATCACTTCCGGTAATGCTCTAGACCTCAGTCTTCTACCGTGGTCCGGGCCAAGATGGCGGTTGAGTCTGCAGCACAGGTCAGTATTGTTCTTTTCAAAGTTTTGTCATTCTCGTCGATGCTCTATCACAGTCGCCTCGTTATGTATAAAACATTGGGTGGCATTTTTCTCATACAGCCTTACACTCCGTCATATTCTGTTGTTTTCTTCAATTTGAGCCGATTGCCACCTTGTCACTAATGTGATGGAAAACATTCAAGGAGACTAGTATCAGGTTTTTAATAGAATCTTGACGATCATGTTTACTGCACTATTGGTTTCCAGCTCTTTGTACGACTAGGAGGGAAGCAGACATTAGATGGCTTGGATAAAAATCTCTTTGGTGATATTCCAGAGGGCATCCAGCCGGGAAGTGTTGTGGAATTTAGTGGCCATGAGGGAAGTGGAAAGACAGAGATGCTTCTGCATTTAATTGCAAATTGTATTCTTCCCAAGACGTGGAAGGATCTGGTACTGAATGGACGTTCTATTGGAGTTGTGTTTGTGGACTCTGATTATCATTTTCAGTTACTGCGACTAGTCACAATTCTTGAGCATAGGATATTAAATGCCATAAGGGAAATACAAGGAGTTTCCATGGCAACAGCAAATATCAACTGGAACAACTCAACCCACAGTGGTAATCAGCAATGTACTTCTGGCTATCCTGAGAAGTACAACGATTATGAAAACTTTATCAAAACTTGTCTCGGACACTTATTTATTGTGCATTGCAATAGTAGCCTTCAGATGTTAGCTACAATCTTATCCCTGGAAAATCTTTTATCTGCAAAACCAGAGGTTGGGGTCTTTATGATTGACAGTTTAAGTGCGTTTTACTGGGTTGATAGATATAATGGTGGAGAGAGTCTGGCCTCTCAAGAATCTAACCAACGAAAGATTGTTGATGCTTTAGCAAAGTACACACAGCAGTACCATGTAGTACTGATTGTCACAAAACAAACAATTTTTACATCATCTGAAAAGTCAATTCATAGAGACTACTTATGCCAGAGTTGGCAAAGACTGGTTAATTATCGCTATAAGTTTGACAGGAAAAAGACACATAATGGAGTTGATTTGATGTTCTCAGTTTGCAGAACATACCCATCTGGCAACACTGTCAGACAGTTTTGCATAAAGGAAAGTGGCATTGAGTTTGTAACCTAATTAATTTTCTTAAAGTTTTTGAAATGAAATTTTATTGCCAATAAATAAGCACAGCATATCCAGCTTGCTTTTTTCTACCTGCCATAACTTTGCCAATCAGATTGTTACATTTTTCGAATGAGTCTATTGGTAATAATGAATGTTACCAAGTAGACATAGCCTGCAAATGCAGACATATTTCTGGTTGTTGCTTTGTAGCAGACGGTACTGACAACACAAATTATGTCTGCATTCATGGGCTAGGTGCACATAGACTGCAAAACAGTCGTTTTTTTTCTCAAAATCAGTAAAGAAATCGATAAAGAGTCTTGCACGCGCTAAGCGCATGAGCATCAGACGCACTACGGGTGTGTGAGGCGAGAGGAAAAAAACCTTAGCGTCTCGCCCCAGTCTCGGTCACTGTTTTCAGCCTCGTTTCAGACCTTTTGTTTGACTGCTCGCACGTACTTGAATACGCAAAAATACAGACTGCTTTGCAGTCAAAGGTGCACAGGGCCTTCTGGAATGTTTTAAAGAAGTGAAAGTACTGGTAGTTGGCTGATTTTGCCATCTTTTGTAGGGGAGGACAGGCAGTGCTTTCAACAACCTCATTCCTAGGGTTCTCTCCTACCCACCCTACGGAGCAATAGAGAGAGAGAGACCCTCTCTCTGTCTCTCGCTCCGTAGGGCGGGTAGGGGAGAACCCTGGGAACGAGGTTGTGCTGTCAACTCTCCCTGATAATCCGCGAGACTCTAGATTTTGAACCATGTTTTGTGTCATCACAATATTTTGCAATCAAAAATGAGGTAGACTGTCAGCAACCTCTCTTTTTCTTCAGAGTTAGTGAGGAGAGTGCATACAGTGCACGAGCGGCAAACCGCGTGTGGTCATTTGTGTGTCTTGTGCATTTCACTCGACGGACTAATAAAAAGAAAGATTGCTCTAAGGAATCAGAGGAATAGCACATTAGAAAAGTTGCCAAAAGAAGACAAGCAGTCAGTGGTGGTTTTTGGCAGTTACCAGCTATTTCGGTGAACCCTGGGTGCACTGGAGGCTTATATAAGTAAATCAGCGGGTTACTTTAAACAGTCAAGTGAGGCTAAGGAGCCTGCTTAGTAACCCTGAGCAATCAATTCTGGGACATATAAAAACTTCTTTCGGGAGGTCAACATTACTCCTTTATTCCAAGGAGATTGAACGTAAGGGGGGAGCATGGTGTGCACCTCACCCCCTACCCTTTTCTTTATCCTTTATCCTCAGGGGGTTCCAGGGAAGTCAAATACCAGTGAAAAGTGCAGAATCTCTTGCAGGACCCATCCTCAGAGACCCAGGGGCAGTTAGTTGGGACGATAGAATGTTCGTGGTGAAAGTTTACTGTAACGAGACGAGCAGTAAACTTTCACCACGAACATTCTATCGTCCTGACTAACTGCCCCTGGGTCTCCAAGGATGGCAGGACCTGGATTAAATCTAAAATCTAAAATTTCTACCAATAGTCCAGTTTCAAATTAAAAATTACCGCTGAATAGAAACATTAACGACACATTCATACAGGGTTAGCCTCGACGTAAAGTAAAATATTCAGAAATTCTGGCGAGTAAGTGTTCGAAATTTGAATATACACAATAGACAGAGTAATAAACATGTCTTTTTCTTGTTATAATTTGTGAATATATTACTTCAGATTGAGGCTAAGGCTGTAAAAAATGCGTCTTCACTTCTTTAATTCAGCGGTCATAGTGAACTCAAAAATGGACTATTTTGTTAAAATGTATCTTCCAGTTAACCTCAATACAAGGGGTTGCTGTAGACAGAGAGGAGTGGGGGGGGGGGGGGGTAACTTTTTCATATTTGATTTTGTCAGGATTTTGTACCTTATCTGTATTTGCTATTTTTTTCAATAGATTTGGGATGAGTATAGGGAAGGGAGATGGCTACCTACCGTAAAACTTCCTCTGTCATATATTATGAAATCAGATTGAACGTTGAAATGTCCAACGTTTTCAGTACCGTAAATTCAGTTCCAGATCCTCCTCGGTCATTAACTACTCCTGCAATTAATTTGATCAGCGGCTAATTGCTGTCGTCATAGAGACGTCTTTCCAGTATTCTCAGCGCAATTAGATCCCTCTCCCTTCCTCGCTTTCCTTCGTTTGTATCGATTTCAGCTGAAAACATGGCGGTGCAATATGCTCCTATGAAACTTCGAGTACCGCCTGGCTTTCAAAACTTACTGGAGGGTTTAGCGAGGGAGGTCTTGCGAGAACAGCCCGAGGACATCATTGTTTTCGCCGCGCAGTATTTCAAAAACCAGCTTCAAATCCGAGATGGTAAGCTCACGCTTTTGCCTTGATCAGCTTTACTGCTTAAGTTGTTAAGTAAATATTCTTGTAAACAGAGAGGAAGATTTTTCGGTGTTTGGAGGCTATAACTAGATGTTTCCATTTGCCGTTCGAATACATCGGTTTCTCGGATGAGTTCTAATTAATCCTACTGATTACAATTTGTTAGTGTCGTATGCTTGATCGCAAAATAAAATTGCTATTTTTTTCGATCGATCTTGTTTTCCTCTTTTAGTCGTAGGAAATTATCGTCATAAAAAGTATTTTATCTAAATAACGAATAGTATTTAAAAAGTGTTGAGATGTGATTGTAAGCTTATATTTATGAAACCATTTTTTTGAGTTTACCTTATTAAATTGTCAACATTAAACAGGACGGAAACGAAGGCGAACTGTTTGCATAGACAGTACGAAGAAAATTTAATTAACATGTTTCACCTAAGAATGTAACGATATCCACAAAATTTAAGCCTTCTTTATGCTTTGGGGGGAATTTTCTCTCACCGACAAAACAATTAAGCTTTGTACTTTATTTGTACTTTCACATGCAACTTGCAGCGTACCCTGCGAGCAGAGGCTACATTTTCGCGGTATGAGCTGGCGTGCGAAAAGTAGCCTCTGCCGACAACCGTTCAATTTTCTATCGTGCATGCGCAAAATTCGTCACGCGATTCGCAAGCAACTGGTTCGTCAAATCTGCGTGAGTTTCGCGGGAAAACTACCTGCGAACTACTGTCCTCGAGCTTCTGTTTTTCTGCTTCGCCCCTTCTGGTTTTAACTATTTTAGCCGCAAAAATTCCACGGATCGTCTTTTTTAGGAAAGTATTTTTATGCTATCAACTGTAGTAAGTTCTGTCTGTTTTGCGAGAAGCACATTTTTCCGGCTTTAATATTACCTATTTATAGTTGTGCTCAAAGTGAAAAATGAAATTCGCCGACAACGCTAGGCAGAAGTGATGTTTGAAATAAATTGGATGCTGTAGTCTCACGATTGTGTTTTAAACTAATGTTATGAATGAACATAGACAAAACAGTAGTCAAAAAAATTATTTATCGAAAAATTTTATTCGACAACCCATAATTTTATCCTTAAAAGCAATTCGCGTAATACTAACTGGATTGTGGATCATTTCACGCAAGTAAAAGCTGCCGAAGACATCAAATGTCAACGCCAAAATGCGTCTCAAGTCGTATAAAACATCTATGAAACAACTATAAATACTTAAATTTCCATTTAAAAACGGAACTTCCTTGACCATTGATGTGCAAGTTGTACCTGAAAATTCTTTAAAAACTTTGCCGCCTTGGTTTCTTTTCAGAACAGGAGAAGCTTTCCACCGTGAAGAAACCAACCAGGTTGAAGTCCTTGAGGGCGAATCGGTGTTCAGCCAAAAGCTTTTTTTCTACTTTTTCCACCAAAAAGAAACTGATCGATGATTCTTTTGAACATTCCGGTTCCCATTTGTGTCTTAAAACAGTGCATTTAGCCTTGCATTGAGAGGCGACACAACAAAAATCACCGCAGTATCCATTTTCTTTTCCTGGCAAACAAGAACTACCATAATGATAAATTAACGATCTTTACACGGTCCCGTAAGAAGCACCGGCAGCAGCTTGTTTTGGTATTCCGACAGCTTTAAAATACAGAGCTTATTCAAGTTGTTGACGACGCTCTTTTAGACACATAAACAGGGATGTTTGAAGTTGTTTTGAACTTTTTCTGTTGCTGCGTTCGAGCTACGTTCATCCGCGTTCGTATGCGAGGATTTGGCACGAAGGAATGCATGAAGGCGCAGTAATGGTCAGCGTTCATTCGCTGACGCAAGACTCACGCAATGCTCTAAACCGGTCAAGAACAAGAAAAACCCGTTTTTTTTAATTTATTCGTCCAGATTTCTGGACGGATTTGAACGGTTGTCGGCAGAGGCTACTTTTCGCACGCCAGCTCATACTGCGAAAATGTAGCCTCTGCTCGCAGGGTACTTGCAGCGTGTACGTCGTGTAATTTTTACTGTATAAAATAATTGCATAAACTGTCCCGAACCTAGACGTTGGTCATATAAACAATAGGAATTCTAGAATCAATAGAAACCCTACACTATGCCAATAAGTAATATTAGTACTTTCCTGCATTGTAGAGACTGGAAAAGATGATGCAAAAAAAGGCGATCAAATGGAAAGATTGATGAAAGGAGAGGAGGTTGATATAGATTTGAAAGATCCTGAGGTACAGGCAGCAGCAACTAAGATTCAAGCAAGTTTCCGGGGTCACAAAGCTCGCGAGGATGTGAAGAAGAAAAAAGATGAAGAGGCTGCAGCCATTAAAATCCAGGCCAGCTTCCGTGGTCACCAAGCAAGAGAGAGAGTTAAAGACATAAAACTTACGCAGAGCCAGGAGATGATGTCAGAGAGTGCAACTGGTGTTGAGGCTGATGTTGTGGGGGATGATTCCACTACTCTGCCTGAAGAAGCCAATAAACTAGAAGAAGACATTTCGAGGGGACCAGAAGAGCAGGAGGCTTCCGTCCATGAAAAACTTGATGAGACTGAAGGAGCGGGTACAGAGGCTGTCCCTGTGGAGCCTGAAGTGATGGAGCCTGCTGCGGAAGGAGAGTCTGAAGTTCCAGACAGACAGGAAGCAGAGGGAGAAACAAAAGACGTGACTAATGAGGGTGGAGCAGGGGATGTTCAAGTGCAAGAGGCAGCAGAACCTGGAGAAGAGAAGGTGGAAGATAGCGTAGAAACTGCAGAGGAGAAGGCAGAAGATGCAGGCGAAACAGGAGATGGGGCTGCTGATGTCCAGCAGCCTGGTGAGGCTCAAGGGGGGGAGGTAGAAGGTGAGGCAGAGGAAGTAGATCTTGATTTGAATGATCCAGAGCTGCACAGCGCTGCAGTTAAGATCCAAGCTAGTTTTAGGGGCCACAAGGTAAGGGAAGGGGTGAAAACCACAAAAAGTTCCGAGTCTTTACCTCAAGAACCCCAGGGTGAAGGTGGAGAAACATCAGAGGAGAAACCTGATGAGGAGAAAAAAGAGGAAACGGAGGGGGATAAAGATGGCGAACCATCTGTGCCTGAGGGTGCTGAAGAATCCAAGCCATCAGAAGATTAACTTATTTATATTTTGCTTGTTATGAGAGCCCAGGGGTAGCCCAGATTTTAGCGACGGGGATGATCAAATGGGGGTAAAAATCAAAACTCAAAAAAACCCCTGGACCAAAAATTAGCCGCCAAAAAATCCCATGCCATATTTCCAAGCCTTAAAAATTTCCAGAAAGCAAAACAAATTTGGTTGTACTTTATTGGTAGAACTATGCGGCCAGGATACGTGTGCACGACCATGAATCTTCAGATTGTTTTGAATACCCCAAAAAATCCCTACTTAAATCAAGCCACCCAAAAAAATACTTGCCAAATTGTTCTAGACCAAAAAATTTGGGACTTGAAAATTTCAAAGCCAAAAGATCCTTGGATCATCCCCGTCACTTGAATTCTGGAGTTCACCCTGGGTGTGAGAGTCCCCAATAGGGTTCCTCAATTTTGCAAAAGCCCTCAATCCTGTTGTCACTCTGATGATTATTTTCAGCGTCCAGCATCCTGAGCATACTTTCAATCCAGTTTCTTGCTCTCATTTTGCTTTAAAATCTTGAATCCTGGCCTTCAATCCCTCGTCCCAAAAAAATCTGTTGGGGAACCCTCAGTTGTATCATATTGTTATCTATATATTTAAAGTTGAGTGTCGTTTACAACTTTAAGTTAACGGTTTTCCCATTTGAGAGAAGATATAAATTAAAGAAAACCTAGGGCTCAATAATTTATTGTGCTCCTAACAGAATCTTATAATATGATAATTTATAACTTGGAGTAATGTAATAATGGTAACTTTGTGGTTCTTTAAGAAGTTTTCTTTGAAAGGGGCTTATCAAAAATTTAGAGCACACTCACAGATATAGTTTATACACTTTATGGTTAATAAGAAGTTTGTTTATACAATATCTTGTATAGCTTAGTATCAGATTTTGGTGGTTAGGTTTTGTGTGTGTATATGTTACCGATTTTCGACAAGATATTTATGCTTAAATTTTGCCAACCTGACGTAAAGTTAGCTTAAAAAGTGATTAGACTTAATTTCATTTGTTTTCAATTTATGGTAGCATAATGTAGGTGGTTATGCAGCCCCCATTGTTTCATGCTAAAAACATGTCTCACACAAAACAACAATACCATGCACTCAGTAGTAACTACATATAGATGTGTCTTTCTGATAAGCAGGAATTTATGACACGTTTGTAAATATTATTGGAGCCATTTACAAGTAATGATTTTATCATCGAGGTGTTTAATATCACGTTGTAGATATTACATATATAATTTGAGATGCCACACTCTGTTGCAGAATTTTTAGCCTTACAGAGGGTGATTATTAAATCATTTCTGAAACAGTTGTAACTCATCTGACAGTTTCCTGAATAGTTTCTTTTAATATAAATGTTCAAAGTTATAAATGTAGCAAATGATTAACAAATTAGTTTTCTTCGTTATTATTGTGGGTGTCTAGTAATCAGCTTGCTCTTTCACACCTGGAGGTCATTAATGGGCAGGAAAAAACCACCTGCTAGGAGCTGAGTTTTTATTATTTTTTTTAAACAGCACATTTTCTTTGTAATTTTAGAGCTTGTTATTTGAATTTGTTAATATTTGCTGCCAATAGGTATATCTTTGGCATTGGTTTCCCAACTCACATTTAAAGATTGGCTGACAGAGATGATTAAAGTGTATATGAGAAGAATCGTTTCTATAAATAATTTCATGAAAGTAGAACAAAGCAGTTTGAGTGTGTAACAGCACAGGTTACCCAGGCTCTGTGATAGTACCACAGAACAATTCTAGGAAGTTACAGTGATTGTTGAGTATTTCCTACAAACACTGTAATTTTTTAGGGTACAGAACTAGCAGTACGAGTGTGTAGCAGCACAGGCTACCCAGGCTTTGTGATAGTACCACAGAACAATTCCAGTAAGTTTCATCGATTATTAAGTATTTCATACAAACACTGTAATTTGATAGGATTCAGTACTGTGGTACTATCAAAGACCCTAGGTTACCAGAAGCAGGGAATTAAAGCAATGTGGCAAATAACGAATATAAATATGGTCATATATTAATTTTGTTTGGTGTCCTCTTTTTTGTCAATATACTGCTTAGAGGTGAAATAAAATTTTAAAATTAAAATTATACACTACCTTTAGATTTTGGTTTGCTATATATAAGGGAAAACAGGTTTTATTTCATTACTTAATTATATTTGCAGCCAGCTGTTTTACTGGAGAATTATACTTGCCTTTGAGAAGTTGAATGATTGGCGGTCATACCTGACATTAAAGTGACCTTATTACCTGTTATATTTTAGTCATGTTGTCAAAATTAGGCTCAACTCCGGGAAGAGGGGGGGCTAAAAACCTTTTTACACGGGGAGGCCACCATTTTTGACAGAAAGGGTACCCATTTTGCATACCCACCTTCCATTGACAAAATGGTGCTTCTTTCACATCGGCTTGTTTAGACGTTTGCATCCTTTTTAACTGCTGTAAATGTACTCTCTTTAAAATATGTATAACTTACAAACCAGAACGTTTTGTTGACCTTTTCACAGCTAAATATGCATCTCTTAGCCCTGTTGAGCCTCTTACAGACCGAAATGATAGATTTCTCCACCCTTTCATATAATTCAGCTTGTCAAATTCCTACCCCTTTCATATACCTGAAACCGGGAAAAAAGTACCCTTTTCGGGTGGAGCCTACCCTTTATAAAGTTCACGTTTTTGGAAATGAATTTTTTTTGGATATAAAAATGGCCGAGAATTTTTTCCCCTCACTGTCAAAACATTGCCTCCGTTAGGGACGGACCATTAGAAAAGTTATGGGGGGGGGGGGGGGGGGGGGAATTTTCGAGCGGCAGGAATTTTTTTCGTTAACAAATTCCTTGTATAATTGTTTTTAGGCCGTAGCATGAATATTTTTTAGGGTTAATTGGCGTGCATGAATTTTTTTTTCATTAATTTTCCCTTATGCGAATATGTTTTTGTACCTGGCCCTCTCACACCCCATAAGTTTTCTAATGGTCCGTCCCTTAGTTGAATTGGAAGTCTTCCAGGCCGACACTAAATCAGACCCCGTGTTGTTCAAAAGGTGGATATCGCTATCCACTGTGTGGTTTTATCCTGTGGATAACGCAATTAGGGTGTCCCTGATAGTTATGTACTTGATTCCGATTTATCTGGTGGATAACGCTATCCAGTGTTTGAACAACCGGCGCCAGGTCTTAAAGGTATTTCAAACATTTCAAAAAAACGTGATTTGTACCTCTAACAATGTGATGCATTTCAGAAGTCGTTGACAAGATGATACTTAAGACTGCTGAAGTAAAAGCCAAGGATGACGAGATTCCATTGATTGTTGTAGTAGAAACAGCAACTTCTGAAGCCGATGCACTTGATGTTGGAACCAAAACTGATGAACAGAAACAGCACGAGACTCAAGAACAACGTCAGGAAGAGCAGCCTGAAGTTTCACAGGAGATGAGTGGTGAAACTGCTCTAGAAGAGTTGGCTCTGGATGATAGTGTCAATAAGGAGGATGGTGTTGTCAACGAAAAAGTCTTTGAAGGCCCAGAGAAAGACACAGATACAGTTGTTCAGGACGAGAGCGTTTCCCAGAATGGTTTAGCCAAGGAAGAGGACGCTACAAAGGAAAGAGAATCTCAAGATGATAGTCCTGCTCAAATTGCAGTTTCCCAGGAGGATGGAACGGTACCGGAAGTAACTGAGGGCGCTGTGGAAGAAGAGGCAGTTGCAAATGAGCTTCCTGTTCAGGAAGTTGCTCTCCTTAAAGAGGTGGCTCAAGAGGAGGTGTCTTTTCTTAAAGAGGTAACCGAGAAAGAGAGTGAAAGTGCAGCTCAAAAAGACAATTCTGCCCAGGAAGAAATTTCACCGGATGACACAGCTCTGGAAGAGATCGGTAGAGAGGACCAATCTCAAGGAGAAAGAGGAGCCAAAGAGGAGTTAGGTGAGGGGAAAATTGTTGATCAGGAAAAAAGTGAAGCAACAAAAGGTGCTGACGAGGTAGAGGAGCCAAATGGTTGTGAGGTAGATAGTCGAAGTCGGGAGACAGCTATAGAGGGAGATGGTGTTGCTAAGGAGGAAGCCGCTGTTTCCAAGAACGTGGCATGTGAGAGTGACAGTAACGCTCAGGAGCATTCAGTGCAAGATGATACTTCTGAAAAGGTGGCAGCTCAGGATGATTTCAGTCCTCTGGAGACAGCAGGTGAAAATGAAGATTCTCAGAAGGTAGCAGTCGTTGAAGACAGTGGTTCTCAAGAAGTAACAGGTGGAGATAGTGTTACCCAGGAAGTAACAGCTGAGGGAGATAGTCCTGCACAGGAGCTACAAGTTAAGGATCGTGCTGTCCAAGAAGCATCAGCTGAGGCAGACTGTGGTACTCAGGAAGTGACAGCTGGGGCAGAGAACAATGTTCAGGAAGAAGCAGCTGAAGAAGGCACTGCTCTGGGGGTGACAGTCGAGGGAGACAGTGTTGAACAGGAGACAGTAAGTGAGGGTAGTGCTGATCAGCAGGTCGCAACTGAGGCAGATGGTAGTGTTCAGGAAGCAGCGACGGAAGATGGCACTCAAGAGGTGGCAACCGATGCAGACAGTAGTGCTCAGGATCAAGCAACAACTGATGATGCTGCTGCTCAGGAGGTAACACCTGAGACAGGTGGTGTTACTCAGGGGGCAGTAATTGAAGATGGAGCTGATCAGCAGGTGATAACGGAGGCAGAAAGCAAAGCTGAGGAGGTAGAGGCTGCAGATGGGACAGAAAATGCAGACAGTGGTGTCCAGAAAGCAGCAATTGAAAATGGTCCTGAAGAGGTAACTACTGAAATAGATGCTGGTCCGGACGGGATTGCAGCTGAACATGAGGCTAACCAGGAAGTTGTAGCTGAGGCGGACAGTAGTGTACAAAAGGCTGCAGAAGACGATACTGCTCACGGTATAGTTGAGGCTGACAGTGGTGTTCAGGAGGCAGTAGCTGGGGGTGTTGTCTCCCAGAGAGAGGAAGATGCTATCCAGGAGGTATTGGCTGAGCCAGATAGTACTAGTAGTGGTCAAGAAGAAGCAGTTGAGGCAGACAGAAAGGAAGAGGCAGTAGCCAAAAATGTGAATGATGAACAGGAGGTTAAAGCAACCCAACAGGAGCTAGTTGAGGTAGATACCAAGGAGGGCGTGGTTGCTGAAAAAGAGGATGCCGCTCAAGAGGGGACAGATAAAGTAGACATTAGTACCAGTGAAAAAGGTGCTGCGGGTCAGCAGGAGGTAGAAGCTGAAGGGAGAGATACTCAGGAAGCAGTAGCTGAAGATGTAGGTGCTCAAGGGGAGTGTTCTACACCTCCTCAAAATTTGGTAGCTGGAACAGATGGTGAGGCTCAAGAGCCTGAAGCTGAGGGAAACAGCTCACAAGACTCACCTGAAGGGCAGGCAGTTTCTGAAGCAAGCGCAGCTCAAAGCGAGACTACTGAAGAAAAAACTCAAGAAGAGGACAGCGTTGTTAAGGATGAGGTGACTAAGAGTGCAATGCCAAAGGAGGAACAAACTAAGGCGACCGAAGGAGATGAAGGCGAAAGTAGAAAACCCGAGGCAAGCTAGAAGCATGCATTCAGACATTATGTCTATGGCAAAAGTCAAACAGGACTCATGCATTCTGTCCATGTTGTTATCTTAGGCGCTTTTGTCTATAAAAACAAACCTGGATTCGTGTCTAGCTGCTAGTTATACTCAGTTTTTAACCCATGCAGAGAATCAGACTTAAGTCCTAAGTTACATCTTCATCCAGGCTAGACATTCGTTCATGACATGGAAAAAGCTTTCAGTAAATTAGCCTCTGAGTCTTTGTTGGCGGGAACGCAAAAAGGATAATAGCAGGTGTCACAGTAACAATCTGGCGCAACCATGGAGTGTAGCATTGAAGTGGGCCAATAAACTGTTAAAAAACTAACCGTTGCCTTTTGTTTAGTGACTGGGTTGACTATAGTTTTCCGTTTAAGTTCCTTCCGCACATGATAGAAAGCTCTAGTAAAGCTTTTCCTTCAGAGACGTTGCACCAGAATACAAAATGGATAATACATTTAGAGACCGGAGAATAGTTTATTCCTTTTATGGAATTTCGATGCTTACATCTGAAGATTGTATTTCCACTCGGGATGTAATTGTTATAGCCACAGCGTACAAAAAAAAAGGAAACCCTTTTGAGGTGAATGCAGCGTGTGAGATAGCCTGTTCCAGGCTCCGAGATGGTGGTGGAAAGTCGTTCAGTAATAAGAAATGCGAAAAACGCGTGGGGGCTAGTCGTGCGCGTCTTATTTTCGCTTTACTCGTTTTTAAAATACGTTCCCACTATACTATCTGAGAGCCTGGCACAGGCTACGTGTGAGATGAACATCCGGTTTAATCACTTCCTGTTGAAAATCACGTGACTATTTCGATAAAACCTCGCAAATTTTGAACGCTTTCGTGCAACCCAGCTGCAAGAAACATGGCTATGTGTTAGCGTGACTTACGTACTTACGGTCGTACACTAACTGGGGACAAACTCAGGTAAGTTTTATACACTATTCTAGGGTTAATTAATGCTTTTATCAAATTCGATAGCTATCGGTAGTAGAAATTATTTGCCATCGATCTGAAGTGTTGGCAAGCTCGCAAAGCTAAAGCAAAGTTTGATGTTTTGGTCTTAATGCAGGCTGATAATGCTAAAAATGCCTTCGATTTGTACTCCTTTTCTGAAAAAATTTAAAAAGCAAATAAGCAGTAGTAAACGCATTCGTTTGATTTGGCTTAGCATCATAACGATTAAAATGCGGAAAGAACTCCCATTCCTGCATGCAACCGGCTTAACCCGCGCGTTCCAGAGTTCACTCAGGTTCACTGTGCTCGTGTTTTGATAAGATTAAGTTAACTTACATCTATATTGGTTTAAGGTTTACAAGGGAATCTCTATCTGCCGTGGGCAATGTAAATTGACCTATTTAGTTATGCTGAATGCCGAACTGTTGTAGATTTTGGACGTCGCGTTTTCGGGTTTGCTTGATAGGGTGTATGCTGGGACACGTCTCCTTAAAAGAGGATGCCTCTCACGATTATTTGGATTATGGTTGGCTTTTTATTCCTCAAGAAAATGGTATCTGAGGAACAAATGTAGAAAATTCGATCTTCCAAGTCACTGATTTATTGTAAGGGTTGGAGTGGCAGGTACTGTAGAGCAATGGCTACATTCCACTGGCTTCCCTCTGTGATTCACCCTGGTTATTATGGTGGTAACCCGGGGGGAGGGGGAGGGGTTCTCGATGAAGTTTTTTACGGGAGTCTCCACCCCAAAGTCCAAACCCCTTGTCACCCTTGTCCTTTAATATAGCATTTTTTGCAGAAGAGGTACCCCTTTCATATACCTTCTACTGACAAATGGTATTGCTTTCACAAAGCCAGTTTTTAACAATGCATCCCTTTTAACTGCTGAAATGCACCTTCTTTTAGTTTGAATAACTCACTTAATCAGAACGTTTTCTTGTATATTTCACATCCTTAAAATGCAACTGTTAGCCTTTCTGTCCTTTCAAAGACTGACATGAGAGATTTCCCTACCCTTTCGTGTTCTCCAAAAAGCTTGCTCCACTTGCACTCTTCTGTGAGAGCCTTAAGAGGTCACTTTGCTTGCTCTTTGCTGAGAAAGTGAAACTCTTGACGTCGACTTTTTTGGCAAGTCTAATGAAATCCCTACCCTTTCAAATACCAGAAGCTTGGCTAGTAACCTCCCCCCCCCCCTCCCCCCACAACCTCCAAGGATGAGTGGTTGTGAATCAAAATAATGCACAAATACATATGTACTTGAAAATTCCATAAGGGGCAAACTAAAATGCCTTGGTTTGGTGATTACATTATAATATAATGTAATCAGGAAACTGCAAAACTGGTGTAATTTCTGGGAAATGATCCTGAAACCAGGAAGAAAGTGTTTGCGGCAGTGCCAGTACATAGGACTAGATAAGGAGTCATCCAATGGATACTTGAATGAGACTGAGTATTATCTGAAGAATTATTGGCCAAGGCAGACAACACCCTCTGAGATCTCCATAAATATTCTTCAGATGATACGAAAGCTCAATAATTGTTTTATTATTCATTCAAAATAATTAAATTATTTATTTAGTTTAAAAACAAGCTAAAACATGCTTACCTCTATCAATGATAAGTTCATCTTCATAGCGCATGTTTTTCAGCAAGTTTAGGAGATAAAGGGTCGATCAGTTCTGCAAATATTCTCCAAATAGCAGGTGTCCTCCGTCAAGTTGTCTTCTTGCTGTTCTTTCTATGTTTTTAGCCAATGGTTTGCCTACTTCTTCTTGTGAAAGGAGTGAAACATTCCACCATTTCGTATTCACTACCAAAACAACTCAACCTCGTCCTCAGGTCTTCTAGGTTAACCGTTCAATAATCTGGCAATTTTGCCACACAACTGATGTCATCAGCTCACATATTGCAAAATTCTTCCAAATTTGGTCAACTGTAGCTGGTTATGATGAATTATGTGTGGAATTTTAGCCAATCAGAAACGGAAAAATATTTTGAATGAATAATAATGTTATGCACCTTTTGAGCAACTGGTAAAATTTAATTTAAAGTTGAGGGAGGGGTCCCCTCCCCTTATCTTAGGCCCCCTCTTACTATCACAGGGTCGGGGGTGGTTTCCCCTTTTATTCAAGGTCAAGATCCACCACTATAGTATGTATTATGTACTATATAATGAATGTGTTGCTGTAATGTAGCTTTTTTTGTTTTATTTTGATTCTAGCATTGACCTGCATGTATTCTGCCAGCATGGATTTTATGGCCCTCTTGCTTCCCTGCATGTCAATGTTTTTTGTTTGGACAAGCTTGTATTGCTTATTATGTTTTGTTAACCCTCATCGGAGTTATGAATGGAACTGCCGACTAGTCACTATAATACATGCATCATTGACTACAATATTGTCTTCCTGGTGTGGGTTTATCACAGGACCTTGGCCATTGGTGTTTATGGGAGAAGCAAATACTCCTTTTCAAACATTCATTGCTACATTTACTCTTGGATACTTCATTTTTGATTTTCTGTGGTGTTTGTACATGAGAACAGAAGGATTGGACATGTTGTTTCACCATACAATATCAGTGAGTGGTATAGCGTTTATCCTTTTCAACGAGTATTCAGGACCCGAGCTTGTGGCGACAATACTTGGAACAGAAATTTCTAACCCTTTCTTACAACTGAGATGGTTTTTACGAGAAACAGGACAGTATGAAACATTGCTTGCGAAAGTAAATGATATTATCTTTATGACAGTTTTCATTTGTTGGCGTCTGGGACCTGGATCTTTGTTATGGTATCGGACAGTCATTGTGTCTCCTAAACCAAAACTTTTTGTCAAGCTTGGCGGTACAGGTTTGTATTTAATAGGCTGGGTATGGGCATTTTTTATAGTTAGATTTGCAAGAAAGAGATTCTTTGGAAAAAAGAAAAGTAAATAGTAAATCAAGGGTTGCCTGGAGTAAAAGCCCCAAGTGAATCTAAGAAACTACTAGATTTCTCCTTTCAATTTGCCTTTTATAAGCTTGTGAATCAATGTAAGAATTTGATATTAACCCATTTAGTTGCAATACCCATAAGAAAAAATCCAGAAGATCTCCATACATTTCCATGAAGAATTAGTGGAGATTATAAGAATTTGATAAAAGATCAAAGCATTTTTCCTGAGGTGATCATTTCATTAATTCTCATAACCTTATCTCTTGATGATGTATTGCTATTGTGAGGAGAAAGTTGATGTTGGTCACTATTGAAGCTTAAACTAAAGGGTTAAGTCAAGAGTTCAGGAGTCACTGGGGGCCTTATTCTATGCATGAATTATTCTATAGTCTTTTTATACATAAGGGACGGTTTCTCAATGATTAGACACTGTGTAAAAACCCAACAGAAGTGTCTATGGTAAGATAAATACACTTAAAGTGGTCTCACTAAAAAATTCTATATTTTTAAGTACATTAAAATTTATTAAAAGTGTCCTTGGTTAAAAATGGGAAGGAAACATGTGGATTAATACTTCACTTAAACATGTTCATAAATTACTTTAAAAAACTATTATTGATATTCATAATTTTGTGCTTCAGTGGAGGAATAAAAATACAGAGTACAAAAAAAGTGTCAGGTTGCAGTCTTCAGAACCATCAATTATGGTGTGTTGGTTCCCTGGAGTTGAACTAGTGAGTGCAAAACAGAAAAAATATAAATGTACCAGTGATATGTAAGTCTGGTGTATTGCATATATGTGATACTTCCCTTTAAGGCTATGTAGTATACAAATTTATTTTTCATTTTTGTTGATACCATTATCTGGGTGACATGAACAAATAAATCTATTTTCAGTTCATGGGGCCACAATTCACTTGCTAACTCTCCTTCTTTATTAATCAGCATGGGTTAAGTAAATTATTGCTTATCTTTATACAGTTGAACCTCTCCACAATGGCCCATTTGGGACAGAAGAAAGTGGCCGTTGCGGAAAGGTGGCCGTTGTAGAGAGGTTTAAACAAGAGTCAATGTATGGACTGTCCGTCAAAAAAGTGGTCATTGTGAGAGATGGCTGTTAGTGGAGGTTGGGCTGTATACATAGAGGATATTACACGGTGGCACGAAGATATGAATTTTATTTTCGAGTGGCAAAACAATATTTTACGAACAAGCGCAGCGAATGAGTAAAATATTGTTTTTGCCACTCGAAAATAAAATTCATACCTTCAAGCCGCCGTGTAAAGATAAAGATAAAGTCATGTGTGAAATTATGGAAAATAAACCACTTGGGTCCCAGATGTAGTTTTTATGAATTTTACGAGTGGTATATTTTCTAGTACAACACTTGTGTCTATATAATAAATAATAATATTTACTGATAAGCAGGTAGCAGGAAAATGGTAGTCATATCATAAATCCCAACATTTCCAGTATTTTTTAAGTAGGTAGTTATTTCATTTTAATTTATTACTTTCAAAATTAGAGTATGTGTTATTTTTTATAGAATTATATTGAGAACATGAAATATTATTTAAAAGAGTGGTGTATAGTAATTTTTCAGCTTATCAAAATTTAATGGTAAATATTACATTGGTAACCTTATTAGTGTTCAGAATGTTCATTGTGTTGTATATTACCCGTTCCTTCTTAAGATCAAATTCTGGTCGAAAGGTGTTTATAACTGTCCTGAAAAATGAAATTTTGTTTAAAAAGTTCAGATTTTTGGAGGGGATCATTAAGATGCTTCCACATCAGCACATGACTGAAAAAGAACACTTGATAGTGTGTTTGCGTGTAATTAATAGATATCATTGTGCAGCCTTCAATAAAATCAATATTAACTTGCATTTCTTGTAGATTTGGTACAGTATTACTTTATTCATAAAAGTGAACGATTAAAATACAATTTATGAGATCGAACCAGTTATATATCAGTGGGCTAGGTAAAAAAAGGTTTTCTCTACTAGACAGAATATAAAAACATGAAAATGACTGTAAACTGTGGAAAACCTTTGAGAGCAGTCATTAACATGAAGTGTGCTGAGCCCTAACTGTCTAACACATGAACCTGACATGTCTTGTGTAGGTGATTGTTTCCTTTTGTTTATTATTTTGTTGAACCCAGTGGATAAAGATCTGGTTTGCATTTCCAGACAGGAACATCCATTATCTGTTCCTCATTTTCTGTTAACTGTTTGTGAGAGCAAAAGGCACAAATTACATCACAACAGATAAATATTTACTTCTAGGTCTCAAAGACTTGATTTGCCCTTAGGGTTAATTTCCAGTGTTGCGTAATTTTTATGTGCATAAAGTTGAACCTCGCTCATCTTCTTGGTTAAGCTGACGGCACTTTTTATCTTGCTTCTATTTTAATTATGTGATTGAAATTTACGTGCGTTAACATGTGTTGCCAAAAGCGCATCATTGGAAATCAACCTTTAGGCGCTTTTTTTTAAGTTGGGGAAGGGGAAGGCTCATTTAAAGGAGCTGTGTCGCAAAATTTATTGAAATTCAAACAGTCGTAACTGTCACCAACTTAAGCGAAACAAAATTAACCTCCCAAAACGTTAGAAAAAAGTATGAAAAGGCATGGGTGAACAAACTTGAAAAAGATTTAAGCAGATGGTGTTTGAAAACTTGTTGTACTACTGGCTAACAGTTTTTCAGTTTTTTGTTGTTTGTAACATTTTCATTTATTTTAATGCTTGGTAGACACATTTGTTTGACATAAAACTGTGATTTAGTCATTTGCAAGTAATAACTTTGCAAGCATTATGCTCCATAGGCATTTAACTGGTAATTATATCAACAATATGAACTACACAGCTTTGACACGAGAGACATTTAAAGGGGGAATGCCTAAAAGAATTGGTGAAAGTGGGGCAGATTCATGGTAAAAACATTGTGGTAATGAACATCTATACTTATTTGGTTTAGACGTACAGTAAGGTCATATTAATATTAATGTATTGAAATAAAATAATTAATATGTAGATACCTTCTCAGTAATAATGTATTCCCCATGCTGTTCAATTCCAAAGTCAAAGACATACCTGCCTGGTCCACATGGCTAGTATGTGGAAATTAAAAATATTTAGTTCTAACAAATTATGATGTATTTAATTATCTATGCAGAAAGGTCATAAAACTCCCTCAAGTGGCTATATTGGAAGACCTGATTTCAGCTTTAGCAGGACAATATGGAGCTTCAGCAACAACAAAGGCAAAAAAGCAATGCGGTTAGATTGGCAAAACAACAACTTTGCAGCTGCATCATGCTTTTTTGTAAATTTCTTAGCCATCGTTGCATGACTACAATGTGATAGGGCCTATTTAACTTCACATTTTGTTGAGGACGGGAACACAACAACAACTTTCTTTTTTTTTCCTGAACTTTGATACTGTCCTTTAGAATTCTATCAACTCCCAAAAAAATTGATGAAATGGAATAAGTGCGAAAAATTCTAAGGTAGAGCAATTTCACTTTTTAAGTGATGTCTTTGTAGCCATTGCTGTCGTCGTTGCTTTAGCTCCCTAATGTAATAGAAAACTCTATTTGATAGTACAATAATAAATTATGTAGTTGGACTGTATGCATGCACTTGTGCATGCTGGGATAGCTGCATGCACTCTGATATTGTTTTTTTCCACACTTAGGAATAGCAAACACTCTGGAGATCTTGTGTTTTCATTAAATATAAGTTGAAATTGTCACATATTTCATCTTGGTTTGGTTATGATTTAAACATTATTACTACACAAAGTTGTGTAATCCAAATTCTGTCTATATATAATCATATATATTATACTGTTGATTAAAGTAAAATGTGGTTGTCTGACTTTTTTTACCACTTGTGTGGGCTACAGACCAAAATGGAGTACACTCCAATGATCATAATTTGACTTGATTACACTTCCATTTTTTTATTGCTGTGATAAAGACCATGTTCTTAAGGCTGCATTTATGGCTATTGTACAAGACATAAGAATAATTGGGGAAAACACTGCATTTTGTTTGAAAAAGTTTAGGGGGGACTTTGTGGGGAAAAGTGCCTTTTCCAGTTGTCCCCCTTTGTTTTGCTTTTCTACTTTGTCTTAAATTTATCCTTGTCTTTTTTCCAGGTTATTCACATGCGTACTATAGGCATAGAGGCTCAGCTATGCCCCTGATAATATTTTATTAAGCTTATTCTATATTTACTATTTTATTACGTTACACTTAACTTGTTTTATTCCTGTCATTTCCGCACAAACCAGTGGATCCCTGTCCACACAAATTTCATAAGAATTAATACTTACTAAACTGTCGTAAAATGTTCCCAGATAAACATGGTTTGGTAGGATCATTTTAACAGGTCCAGATAGTCTTCCATTCATCCAGCTTCCATCATACTTAAACCAATAATGACATAAACATAACATGTTCAAGTCTGCATGCAGAAGCCATGGATATTTCTAATAATTATTATTTTATTACTTTGTTTTCGTTTTTTTTTTTAGCCCAAAGTGTGCTAAAACTGTGAAATCCTCTTCCAAACTGCCTTGTATTTACTTAGCTGGTGAATCAAAAAGAGTACAACAAAAGTCACCTTAGGGCCTCAGGAACTCGAACTATTATTTGGAAAGCATGGTTAATCTATGAGCCCATAGCATGTTTTGCAGATTGTCACACAATATTTGCAATTATTCCTATTTTTTACACAGCCTTAATAACGCTGCTCTAGATCAATAAATAATTTATTTATCGTGTTGAATTTTTTAAAAAAATGGAACTTTCATGAGGATGTTTGTGGTGAAGTAATAGAGATATGGGGCCTGCAACTTAAAGGCTCATGTATATAGGAAAGTTCATTTTTTCTGGTTTGCAATGAGTCCTTATGAATCTTTGCAGTTTCGACTAACCTCTGCATGAAAAAACGATCTGTTTTGGTGTTTATTTTAATACAAAAATTTCAATTTTGTGTGACTTCTGCAAAACACTCGTTATTGTCGCTCAGTTCCATGTGAGGAATGCTTGGTGGTAGATTTAGACTTCTGTACTTCACAGGAAGCCCATGTTTAGCAATGTTAAAAGACAAAATTATAGGGTCTGAACAAACCTTGAGTTTGGTGGCAGCACATGTGTAAACACCCTTTCCTTGTCTCTTGTTGTCTTTCCATTCTCCCTCATACACATCACCATTTATGTAAAGGTACATGCCTTGACCGTTACGTTCGTTATCTTCCCACTTGCCTGTGGAAGTGATTCTAAAATCTATAACACCTGAACTTTAAGTAATTATTACCACTTTTGATGTTAATGTGGGAAAGCTGGAGAGCTGTAAACTGGAGACCTGGCTGAAATCAGAGGTACACTTCCTGAATCAACTATCAGATGCTAACAAGCAGAAAACCTTATTAGTTTTTAAGTCTATTGTCTTATATTTCATTTTCAGAAGATTTGCTGTGTTCAGAAATGTTGGTATAATTTCTTGGTTAGATCACTAGCGTTTTTAGCTCTTTTTACAAAGGTACTTCTTTAGAAACTTAAGTTTTGTTCAAATGGGGATGTAACCTTAGGTTATTCCCTATATAGCTAAATAATTCTTTTTCTTAATATTTTGGGTTAAAATGAAGACATTGGTGTGACTGGCCTAGCTACTTTGCTTTATGCTAGGTCCCTTTGTAACCCAGGCCTCAAACGTAACAGATGTATTCTCCAGCCAGTGCTCATTTTAAAATTCACCGTTTTAGTTGAAAATGAAATAAATAAAATGATTATTCATCTGCTAGCAGTTTTCTTTCAGTTTGACACATGATGTTATAAGAGGACAGTCTCTACTATTCCTACTAAGTGAAATTGCATGCAATTTTTAAAGGTTTTCAAACAAAAATAGCCAAAAAAAACAGGCATTTTGACAGGCCAAGAACTAAGCCAAGCTCTTATACCAAGCATCCATCTCACTGAGTTTAAGTACATACACTGGCTTTTCGTATCTTAGTTGAAAACTTTAAAGAAAATAACTGTACATACCTTCATATTTAGATCCATCAGGGTACTCAAATGTTCCATGGCCACTCTTTTTTCCCTCATCATAAAAACCCTTGTATTTGGCTCCATTTCGAAATATGTATGTTCCCTGTAAACATGAGTACCAAGTATGATCTTATCATTAGGCAGAGCTAGGTACATTTTATAAAACCCCGCTAAGTGCATTTTTAGGGGAGATGTAAACCTCAAAGGGACATATCCCATTGTACTAGTCACCCGTTCATATCATCAACCCATCCCATTTCTAATGTGGATCTAGTGCGGCTTTAGATATGAAAATACTGTCAAAAATGCAACTCACATTTGAAAAATACAAGATGTGGCACTGGCAAAATTTGGGATCAAATGTTAGCCTGTACCTACAGGTTAGCTAAAAAACTATGCATGCAGGATGGTATGAGGCTGGCCACTATTTATGGAGATGGTCACAGGGAAACTGTTTTGCATGATAAAAATTTCTGCAAGGATGCCCCCTCCCCATCCCCCATTAGGTCTAAATAGTGGTTCCCCTCTTTCCATTCACAACTTAAATTTGACCCTCCCAGAAAAAATTGTAGGCATCTGTAATGTAGTTTTGTGTTCTCATTATTTTGGATGCATAAAGTGGACTAGCCAATGCCTACTGTACAGTGGATGGTACCAAATTCTACGCAGTAACCATGGGTGATAGCAGGCTGTGTTAGGTGGAGATGGGTGGGTATTGGTCTTCTACTTCATCACTTTCAAATGGCCACAGAATTTAAGAAAATCATTACATTTAGGTTTGAAACAAATTATTTTTTACACAAACAGAAATAATTTACAAGGCATCGAACAAAATCACCCCTGTCGTTGATTTCTTTCACCCCTCTCCATATATAAATAAACACTGGTCCCAAGCTACTGCACTAAAAATAATTCGGCTTAAATATTTAGGAAGGTTATCTAGTTAATTTTCTGTAAAGCAATATCCTTAAGCGAGAATCAAGCCAACCGCTTAAGGCCAATTCTAAGAAAAAGGTATCCTGTTGATAGCCTATGAAATGTCTGTTTCTGTTACAAGTAATTTTACTAAAGTAAAAAGTCTATCGAAATATTAACCTTCCCATGTCGTTTCCCATTAACATAGTTTCCTTCGTAAATATCACCATTTGGTAGAACAGCTTTTCCATATCCATGCCTTTCTCCGAGTTCGTTTCTCTCTCCTTCGTATTCCTGTTTTTAAACAAAGGTCACGGATCTTAAGCTTAATTAAGTTTAGGTAAGACTTTACGAGAGTTCTTGTAAATTAACCCAACCTGTTTTCTCGATTTGTTTGTTTGCTTTTACACAAGCGTTAAGCTTTCCATTCAGCTGGTTTTATTTTGTGCATTGAACATTTCTACTGGGCAGGAAACCATCTATAGTGGAAAATCTTAACAATGCTGTCATTTATAAGTAAAGCCAGCAAATATACTTCAAGCATAACTTTTACTTCACTAAGTGGTCGGCAAGTAGTGAAAGCTTGTTTCGCAATAAACGCCAACTAGCTAGAGAAGGAAAATGGCTTGCTTACCCCCAAATCACTGGTCCAATCCAAATCTTCCGAACCAGCGCCAAATAAATCTGACATGATTGTAACTAAAGGCGGCTGAAGAAATCTTATTTTCAGTGTCTCCCTTTGTAGCCAAACCGTTTAACACAAGACGGATCTTGCGTGTGCTTTGCAAAAATCCCGGATGTGAGTTAGTATCACACACTTACGGCGTTATTACTGAGATTTACAGAAGTAATGAATATTGTAATTAGAGATACAATTAAAAATAGAGAACGCGAATTCCCGTTTAGATCTGATTGACCACTCCAGAAAATACCATAACAGTTTAGTCATAATACTGGGCCCGGTTCCTCAAAAGACGGTTAAGTTTAATCCAAGATTAAGCCAAATTTCAAGCACGGTTTTCTCGTCTAAGAACATGCAACTCGAGGTTACAAAATAGTGTTGAGCCTTTAATACGAGATACAGTAATAATAACGCAAAATGTTACCCTAAGCAATGCATAGGAATGTAAAATACAAAAACGGAGCAAAATTTTAATCCTAGGTTAACGCTAATCGGCCTTTCAGGAACCGGGCCCTGTTTGTTGGTCACTCTGCCAAAATTTTGCATAAGCATTGTCTTCAGTTTCTCTTGGGAGTTAAATGGCCCCAAGAGAAACTGAAAAACAGTGCTTATGCAAAATTCTGGCAGAGTGACCAACAAACAGTATTACGGTATGTTATTGTATTTTCTGGAGTGGTCAATAGCAGAACTTGATTACTTTGGCTGAAACCCGACTTCGAATTTTGCGCGCGATAAAGAAATCAAATTCCAAAATCTGGAGTTTCCAAAGTGCTGGTAAATGGAATCTACTAGGCCAAGGTTCTTGTCTAATAACACGTGGCCGAAAGTTATGAAATAGGGGTCATGTAGCAGCTCGCCAACTTTGTCACCAACTCACTTACTTTGTCAAATGTTGGTGAACTTTCCTGAAGTAGAATTCCTATAAACAACCACATATATCCAAGTTCAGATAGAGAGAGAAAATTTCGTGGTCGCTTGTTCACGTCCTCCCTAAAACATAATATTATTAGGCAGCTTCACGTCGTAGTCATGTAGTTGCAATGATGGCAAAGAAATGTACAAAAAGGCGTGATTTGCACGTGTAAATTTGGTGTTTTGCCGTATATTTTAAAAACCTATTATACACGCGCGCGCGTGTTTTGACGTGAAAATCGTGGACGACGTTCTTCTCTGGGTTTTTTTTTTGACATCCGTACATTAAAAAGACAAGCTAAGCACTTCTATTTAGACAGAGCACTTGGTGGAGCATTTTATCATTTCAGTCTAAAAGGTTTTTTTGTTGTTTATAGCCACGTCACTTTGACAAATGAGACACAATGCAGTAAAAACCGGTTGGTTTCACTCATAAAGAACGCTCAAATCAACCTTGTTGCTCTTATGGGTGTTGCGCTGTATTGATCGTAATAAAAAGAGAAAAAATTGCAAAAGGTAAGCAAGGTACTTCACGGTCAAGATTGTCATTTCCACTGTTCGGAGTTAAGATATCATCGATACGCTGTTAACTGAAGCTTTCATAACTCCTGAAATAATGGCAATTATAGCTTCTCACAAGGCCAAAGTAAACTAAACGATACGGAACAATAAAAAAGAAAGCCATTTTCACAGTGTTTTGCAGTAAAACCCCAGCTAGCTATTTTCCTTCGAGTTCAAATATTGAGGCATTTCCCATGCTACTCGAAGCACTTCACCCTATGTCAAGAGCTGCGGATGAGCCGTTGTGCTGCGTCGAAAAAGGTACGGGTTGTTTATGTTTCTTTGTTTTCACATGTCAAATAGTAGTGGTCTGGCAAAGGTGTTTTCCCACTTCGCTGCTTCTTCCTTTACTTTACTCAGGCTTTTTTTTCCCGTGATCTTCACGCAAAAACACAAACTGTTTGGTATGCCATAGTCTAGGCCCAAGGGTAGGCCAGAAAGGGGCAAGCCCATGCAGCGTCAACTCGCTATCGCATAGGACACCAAGTTGTGCACAGGGCAACCAACTTGGGTTAATTAGGTATGCAGCCCCTAAGGAGACAGCAATACTACTAATACCGCGTTCGTCTATGCATTCAAGTTTAAAATATACGGCTCATTTTCTTGTCATTTGTGAACCACCTTTTAGATGAAGTTAGTTTGTTATACCAATTTCGTTGCTGAAAATCAAAAACAGTGTGGGTCCCAACGCCGTACCTTGAGACACAACAGAAATGACGAGCACACAAGATAAACCAATCCGCGATGACAACGCGTTGAGGAAGATTCGTGAGGAACGATTTTAACAAAGAGAGAACGTGACCAGAGATACCATATGGCTAGGCGTTGTGATGGGAACTGACCCAAAAGCCCGGTTTCCTCTCACAAGACGGAAAAACTACTTTATCTAGCGAGGTCATTTGTCTCATTTGGAATACGCAGGCAAGCACTAACTGAAGGCACTGTTTTACGTTTAGCGAAGGCCTGGTCGATGACTGGGTGAAAGGAGTAACTTCGTTTCTCAGTTACTATAAAATTACGCTGAGTATCGGTCTGGCCTCAGGAACTGAGCGCGCGACTTACCGTTTTTACCCCGCCTGCAGACTCTGCCGCATTAAAAAAAGGTTTTGTATCTACTCGATGTCTTTTGTTGACTGTTATCGGGGATCATTCGTGAGTTTACGCAATAGGACGGCAGACAGAAGAGGACGGCAAAACGCTTGTCTGTGACAAACATGACAGGGCTGTTACTTGCGTGTTATGTCGTGATCCTCACAAAACATTAATGTTTTCTGGTCTTTGCAAAAAAACATTTATTTAAAGGAAAGTGAAGTCTGGCGTAAAGTTATTTCAAACAAAATTATTGTCACGCTTGTCACACAAGGTTTGCCGTCTTCTTTCCTCTCCCGTCCTGTTGCGTAAGTTCACTATTTATGGTTTACGACGGAAAAACTACATATAATCGTCTGTCATCGTGTAGTCTGTTTTGATGACGGCGCAAGGAGATGTGAGCAGGAAAAACAGCGTGACGTCACGCCGCACTCCCCTATCTGAACGCGTGAAACATGCAGGCTAGTTATCATGTTAAAATCCCAATACAAGAATACGACTGGTACGAAAATCAATCAAAGCGATGACAGTAATACGAGATCCTGGTCAGCGGCATGTAGACTGAGGGCCAGGCGGGTGCCAAATTGTATCTGTCTAGCCTGCGTGGCAGGCCTTGGAAAGAGAAGGGAAAGGGAATTTTGGGAAAGGGAGTTTTAGGCGCGAGAGAAACCTGCAGTATCTGTCCAGAGGTTATCACAAACACAAGAAGAAACTGGGCTAAAATTGCAAGTTAATCATTTATTTTAGTAAGTAAAAAAACAAAAAGTAAGAGGGCTCCACGACATCTGTTTACCGCAGAGTTCCCCTAACATGTATAACATGTGTGAAACTTGAAATTAAATCCGTACAGCCGGGACTGAATGTATTAAACAGTTTGTCACTTCAGCTGTATATCACTTAAGTTTAAAACACTGTTAGTCTAGTTCAACACAAGCACTCAATTAAAAACGTTATAAAACTACAAAAATACTTATTAATCTATGACACACTGTATCTTGGTTCAAAGGCGGTTCGCTCAAAGCGTCAGACTATCTATGGGTATTTCCGACGAATAAAAGTTGTGACGATCCCTATTGAAGAAACAAAGATCTTAGAGGTCGTCGCTCGTGGTTCAATGCTCAAGATCTCTAGAAGCGCTATTACACTAAAAAAAATAGTCTAGATAGACGATGGCTTTTAATGTGTTCGTCAAAAATTCTGCTTTCAAAACTGGTTTCTGTGGCCAGTGAACCAAACGAGTGTTGTCCAGAACAATCTTTTCTTGTCCATGAATCCTTAACGCTGTTTTGCTGTAGTCGTGTCAATGGATGAAAACGCAGGTTTTTGAAAACTATTACGTCAGAGTGATGTATCCCAGTAAACGCGCATGCTCCAATAAAATATGGTACCGTTTCTATTGTTGCGTTATAACATTGACGCCTTATCTCCGTTCTGATTAGCAATGCGAGATTAATTTTCTGATTGGTCTTTTTTTATTTTTCCCTGTTTTTTTGCTAAGGGCCTGTTTACATGGAGGTGGAGGACCCCAGGTATGAGGTAGGTGAGGTAACATGTGGCGCGTCACCCTACCCATCATGTAAACGTGATCAACTTAAAAAAAAAGATTTTATGGTAACCTAAGCGGGTTACCCCACCTACCTGGGCTCCCCCACCTTCACGTGAACAGGCCCTAAATCGTACTACAGTAGCTAATGCGATATTGTTACTGTCGAGAAAGAAGAGTAGCTAAGGTTAACGTTACTCGATGCTGTAAAAAGACAAAGGATCGTGAAACAGAAAGTGACAAAATTATTTAAAATCCAGTAATCGCACAACGAAAGAAAAACACAACCTATTAATTTGTTCAACTGAGTCCTTGTTTCTTGGGTAGCCATCTTTGCAGAAGTGGCTTACGATTCTTAGTCGTTTCCGAGTTTTCTTTTTTTGTTTTTGCGAAGTGCACCAGTCAATTTTCAGGGGGGATCCAGGATTTTTTGATGGTGGGTGGCTGATAACAATCGGCCACCAAACTATACTCGAAACTATTCGTTAATTTATTTTAAGTTGTCCTACGTTTGTCCCAAAACATGGCGATTTGGAGACTGTAACATTGTAAATAAACTCTTGAAACGCCACAAAATAGAAGAAGTAGAGCGCAAAGAAATACCCTACTAACCTAGTCGGCCAAAAGCAAGGCCGCCGATGGTAACTGCATTTGCATAAATGGCCTGCGATGACGGCCAAATCTGAGGGTCGTTCCGCGGTGATCGCGTTGCGAAGCCAAGTATGGATCCTCAGAATAAAAGAAAATGAGCTCTCTACCTCCGTGCTTTCCAGAGGCAAAATGGCGAGAATTTTTAGCCGTTCCCTCACGTTTGGGAAGAAGATGTTGTCTGCGTGACCGAGATGGATTCATAATCCTACTTTGCCAGTCGCTTATAGTGGTTCATTCATCGAAATAGTTCCTGACTTTTAAAAGATGACGGGAAAAGTATCAGATGGTCCTACTTCTTATGCAGTACTTCAGCAAGTTCCAGGCGCGGATCTAGAACACATACTGACGGACTTCATAAAAGAGCGCCTAAGGCGCACGCATCTAGGGGGATCTGGAGGGCATGTTCCCCCGGGAAATTTTTGGATTTTTTACTCCCTAAAGCCCCCTCATTCCTGGGTCTCTGAGTCATTCAGACAGGATAATAGCAAGTGTTCAACTTGGAATTTTTTTTGCATTTAAAATATATCTATTTATGACCGATTTTCGTAAAAAGTTGCAAACCGTTGTGGATCCGCGCCTGAGTTCTACTGTGGTTTCTTGAGACTTAGAAGGGATTACTTGAGGAATAAGAGCACAGAGCTCATAATGTGCCCTCTTTTCCTGAGAAGATTACAGCAATGAAAGATATTGTCACCAGTAGTTTTCTCGATTTCTTTGGGAGCCATGTATTTAGGTATGTTTTTTCACGCATTACAGTTTGGTATATTCTTTGGTGAGCTGTTCTGAACAAGGGTGGTTAGCCACCCAATCCACACCCCTCCCCTGGAACCGCCCATGTTTTTGCGAAGTTTATTGTCATTTTCTGTTCCAGTGCACCTCTTTAAGTCTTTTATTGAGCACCAGGACTCTCTCAACTCTTTCAGTTAAAACACAATTGAAGACGAGAACCTAAGTTTCTAAAAATTTACTCCAGAAAGTTGGATCATATTAAATATTCCTGTTTAACTTGCACAGTAATTTACATGATAATACAGCACGAGCGTCTCCTTCTCCCCCTTTCATCGTCCTACAAAACAATTACACGCACAACATCACACTCAACATAATAAACTACCGTCCAATTAGGAAATCCTCCGATAAGAGGCCTTAAAGCTGAAGTATTTCAAGCCTTTCCTATTTGCTGATCGGCTTCCCAATTAGCAAGTTTAAAGACGCACTCTGCTACGCCAGAGAGAATTTGTCATTAACACTTTATATCTGAGCTCTGGGACATAAACATTATGTACTATTATATGGAAGGATTCAGCTACAGCATTCCAGGATTTTAGAAGAAGGAATTCAGTCTTAAGTCTACCATAAACTCGAAAATCACAAAACAATAATAAACACCATTTCACTTCCTTTGCACGGGTTAGGTTCTTATTTCAAAAACATTTAACCTAATTATTAACTACCAACTCAAAAATCCTTCGCAATGGAGCCCTTATAAACAAAGGCTGCTGAAAGTATAACCGACGGACAAAAAAAAAATGAACTCTTCACATTAACACTAGAAGTCTTTACCTTTAGAACTTTTTGCATGTTTTGAATGCAAAACATTGCCAATATTCTAGACTGCGAGCAGTCAATCTTTTTCTTCAGATTTAGAGAGGGCGGTGCACGCGTGCGCAAGCGTGCGTCGAGTGGGGAAGCCACGGCACGCGAGAAACGAGGGCGGCAGCCCAAAGAGAAAAAGAGACACTGCTCATAGTCTACGGACGATCTTACATTATCAAGTTCGAGGTTCCCTTTCTCGTCCTGCCACAAAATAAGGTAGAGGCCTAATTATCTCTCTTTTTAAAACACTTTTCCACGAAGGCTTTCCCTTCCAATTCAGAATCAGAAAACGACACCTCGCATTTAATTTTTAATGCTAAGTAAAAAATCCGTCAGAAAGTCATCACCACCATCTAACAAACTGAGATGCCGTTTACCAGCCTCTAGCAAGTAGAAACCTAATTAACCAATTCTAGTTTCATCGAGGATCTTTCTTAAACGTTGTTTAATGTTGTAGGAAGGCTTTACCTCAACAGTGAACAATTGTTCTAACTCAGGCAAGACTTGGGACTCGGCAGTCTGGTTTTCCATCTCCTATAACATGAAAAAACGAAAGGTTCATCATCTTTGTACTGCCTTTAAAGGGCATGCAATGTCACGAGATTTTGGAATTATTTTAAAACCCTAAACACACATTTCCCTGCTAGCAGAGGCCTCCTTTCCTCCCGTCCGTCGAATACCAGGGAAAAACGACCTCCGCTAGCAGGGAACTCGCCCGCTGAATACCAGGGAAAATAGACCTCCGCTAGCAGGGAACTCGCCCGCTGAATACCAGGGAAAAGAGACCTTTGCTAGCAGGAAAAACACACATTGGAAGGAAAGAAAACCCTCAAACAATGCTTCAGTTCTACGTAAAAGGACTTTACGCCAGTACTACTAATAATAAGTGTCTGTGTCTTTGGCTTTCGATGCTGGCCAGGATAGAAACGGATTGCACCTTGAAAAAACCTGAGCCGTGTTTTTCAAGTCTAACTCCTGTGTGCCGTCACGTGATTGAACATTACATGAATCGACATTTTTTGGTTTTCTGATTTCAGCCTGCCATTGTTAGACATTTTAGACATTACTCCGGTTTAGCAAAGTATAACAGTCATTATCTCAGTTATTCGCTAGATTTTTTTTACATCAGTCTTAGCCTATGTAAGTTCATTCCTATTTTACCCTATGTAAAAGTTTCCTAAAGCTTGCTGGTAAGGCTGCCCTATCTTAGCCACGGCTTTATATCGTTTGAGGTAACGGAAGATCCTGTGTTATCAAAATATGTCCAAAAACCGATTAAAATTTCTTTTCCCTTTGACAGAATGTCTTTTAGAGTTCCAAGCCTCGAAAAGGAACCAAGCCTTTTGGAAAAGCCTCGTTTTCAAGTTTTGTATGGCGGCAGAAGAGAGATGATGCCGCAGAGAATGATAATATTAAAACGTAGGAGAAACAGGGCAGGAAGGCACAAAACAGGTTGCACTAGTCTGAGACACACAAAGAAAGTGCATAGAACGTCCTACACATTGGTCGAGCGTTGCCTCACAAGGACTTCACAAATCTCATTTGAGTCTCATTTGTTGACCTCGTACGTAAACGACGATAAATTAACTCCGAAAGCGCTTTCTAAGTTTCCCAATTCCTCTCCCATTACTTTCACGATTAGAAAATTGGAGGAAGACAGAGCTGTTTCGCTTCCCAGGGGGTGCTCCGGGTAATTCTCGGAGGGGGTGTGCCGCCCAGTTCTCTAAATCCTGACCCTATTTCAGAACAAAAAGTGTCATTTTCCACACCCTTTGTCAGACGTGACCTCTAAAATCCACACCCGTTTTCAGACCTGACATTTAGGCAGAAATTATGTTAGAATTACAGTCAACCGGCCCTTTATAGCGGACACTGTAGGGACCTCAAATTACTGTCCTCATTAGCGAGAGTCCGTAATAGCGGGAGTTCAAGTCAAACGTCTGTAATTTGTTATTGCCGAGGAATTTAGCTGCTGTCCGTATTATCGGGTGTCCGCAAGGCGAGAGTTGATTGTACGTATATTGCTTATATAAGGAAGTACCCCTTGCCGGGTTTCGCTCAAGATCCCTTGCCCTTACAAGTCAGTATACCATACAGACAGTTACTTTTTTGTAAGCGATCTAACCACATTTTTCTACACTGGCCCCGATACAGAGGTTCCTTCTCAGGAATAAGGTAAGAAAAAATCCTCCGGCACCCAGGGTCGGTAACATTTTTTATAAATTTGAAGGAACGCAATCAAGAGTTTCTATTAACAGGTCCGATGGTTTGAATCTCTTTTTTAGATGATGAATAAGCTTATTAATTTTACTGTAACCCACACAAAAGAACCTGCTTGATCTCGTTTGGCCAACCTGGTTCTTATATTGTTGGGTAATAAAGAAGCAAATTTCTACCAGCAGGTTATTAAGCCACTAGATTCTTACACGCGGGTTTTTACTGTATTAAAAAATAAGTCAGTATCACCAACTCGGAAATCCTCCGCAATGGAGACTTACAAATAAAGGCTCCTGAGCGTATTTGATGATCTCTGACGGCCAGAAAAATAGAACTGTTCACACAAACACTGAAAGTCTTACCAACATTAACAAATAAACTTTCACAAAAATAGGTGAGTGATGACTAACCTGCTCCTGTTCATGCGCAGATTCAGGTGATGAATCAGGAAAGATGTGAGGGAACTCGCTCTTCCAGTAGTTCTCTGATGGCCATTCATGTTCAGGTATGAGGTTCCCTTCAAAATCCTGCAACAAAATACAAAACAATACTTAAAACTACCCATCTCTCTTTAATAAAGTCTCGAAGTGTAAACATTTCAAAACCTTCATTTAAAGTACAATGCGATTACAGTGACCAACGAAAGACAACTGTTTATATGACAACAACTTTGACAAGATGTACTAAGTTCAAAACAAGCCTCGGGTACTAAAGAAAAGATCAACAGTCAAAACTTGGCCTATATAATAAAAGGCAGTTTGCGACTGCATGTGACTACTGTTTTAGTTTTCTAGAATATACTGCAATAAAAAAGGAATGAAAATTGTAGGAAACGATAGAAATTCAGATTGTTTATCCATGAATATAGTTATACTATCTTTGCTCTAGAAGATATATATTTAACAAACAACAACAACCAAACAAATAAGCAAACAAAACAAAAACGAAAACGAAACAAAAAAGAGGAAGACAGAAGGAAAAAAGAAAGGCTACTGAGCCGGATTCGAACCCGGCACCTTGTCAAAAATTAAACGAGCACAACGTTAATGTGTTAACAACAACTGACAGACTATTTTTAAGCGTCTTTACAGTTATTTGCTGAGATAAATTTTTCCTGGCGGAGGCAAGAGAAACAGAATAGGGAGGAGGGAGAACTCGGGGCGAAAATAAAGGGAGGAGGGAGAAAATGAAATGTTGCGAGTAGGGAGAGATCGATGAAAAGGTAATGTTATGGCTTTCTGCATGATAATAAGGGATGTGGCGGAGGACCCTCTCTCTCCGGCGTTGCGTGACATACAGAGAGGGGGGCCAGAACTGCACTAGACACACGGTGGTTACGCGTTCTTTGTCTGGTATGTTGGTGTAGAAGCGAAGCGCTGAAGGTCAGAAAACGTCCTTTACGACTAAGTTCAAGAAACGAGTGTTACCCGTCGCCAATTTTTAAACCAAGTTTAGGGAGGAGGGAGATTTACCCCCCTGTACCTTTCCCCTCTCGGCGGGATTGGAGACAAAAAACATTATCTTTATCAAGGCGCACGTACAAGAAATTCGCATTCAAAATAGTAGAATCAAAATCAAAATTAGCAAATCATTTTTCTTTTCTTTTGAAAATATATTCAGCCTTTACAAAATTCGCAGATCACAGTGTATTTTTGCGGGCGGGAATTTGTTACGTAATAAAACGAAAGACGGGAAAATGTCAACACGTGAAAAATCATCCGAGGTGATTTAACCAATCAGCTGCCGCACGTCACTAGGCTTTGAATAACATCGTTTGTTGTTTTTGTAGTTTGTTCAGTTCGCTTTTCAACGGCAAACTGTTCAGGATGAACTCAAAATTTACTAAGAAAACATCACGGAAATTATTTTACACAAGGCAGGGATTCATCTCTTTTTACTCAGGAATATGCGAAGGAGTTGTTCGAAGCTCAAGGAAACATCATTTTTAAGGATATTTTACGAAAGCGCAAAGCTCCGCAGGATTTGATTTGTATGGCGAGTGGTCTTGGAAAATTGAAAACAAGCTCATGCTATTTACGCGATGAAAATCATGCAATGGACACTTGTGCTATACAGTGGAAAACAGCGAAGTGTTTACTTGTAACGAAAATTTTTTTGGTGTTGCTTTCAACCGTTGTCTCGGAGATACAATTTTTTTGTGCGGGTTGTTATTTCAAAAACCAACGCTTCACCGAACTGCAAGGACCAGTATTTACCAAAGAAACGCTCAAGAACTAACAAAAGAACAGCTATAAAAAAGACTTGTCTGTTTTCTGGACTTTCAAAGGAACTTCACTTGACTTAAACTGATTTTATAGGAGCCTTGGACGATAAATGTGAAACTGTGAGTTCAATGTGTTTACTCTTTGCTTATTTGTTTGAATTGAACATGAACTGAACATCTTTCATTTGCTTTTATGACTGTTGTTTGTTGCTTTATGAAAAGTTATGAATTAAAATTGATTCAGAAATTAATACTGTGGAAATTATGTGCTTTTGTTTTGCTAAAAGTTATTGTTTTCACCCAATAATATCATCTTATGGCTGCTTGAAGATACGAAATTTCTCTTCTTGTGTTCAACTCCATGTTTTAATATCAGCTGAAGTCACTTGTTCTTAACGTTCTCAGTTAAAACATTTTATGGAGTTAGTTTAATCAATTGAAAGACATGAATTTGAAATGATACTTTGAATCTGCTAAAGTTTGTGATTTGATTTCAAAAGCAAATCTCGTGTTTTGTCGAGTATAAAAATGACAAAGAAAGGAAAATGGCGAAAGGCAAGAGCTGAGTAGAAATAAACTGTAAACAAAGAATAAAGAAACAAATTGCGATAAAATTGGAAAACTTACGTGGTAGAGTGACATCAGGTCAGTGTTGTTTCCATGCTGCTGTACAGCTGATGTGAGATTCTTCACCTGCTGTGGAGTCATCTTCACATCTAACAGCCACAGTGTCTCCAGGTGAGGAGCGCAGCTGAGATGTTTAATCAAACTGTCGACTCCTGCACCCAGAAGAGGATTGTTTGACATGTCGAGCAACTTCAAGTTTGGAAGATCTTCTTTAAATACTCTGCTGATGAACTCCACAGCAGGTGATGATGTTACATTGATATGCTCGAGTGATAATATCTCCAGTTTGTGTGTTGTTGGGATGCTCCTCAGTAGAGACTCTGTTACCTCAGCATCAAACACTTCACCGTGTTCACCCAAAACCTCTATCTCGTGTGGAGCGGTGATAAACGGCATCATCTCAATCAGCTGTTCCACTTCTGACCTGTTCACATCAGCTCCAATCCTCCAAACCCTGGAGAGACCATGACGCTTTGAACAACAGCTGCTGCTGCTCTCTTCACTTGACTCATCACCATTCATGTTTGTCTTCTTTGTTGTCTCTTCTAAACTAACTAACGTCTTTACCATTTTAAAAGAAAGAGGAATTCTATTAGTTTTTACAATTTTAGTAAAATAAAGGTAAGTGTTGTTTTCTTCTTTCATTAAGAAAAACTCGTCAACACTACGCCATGGAAATACATTCAAAAATTCTGATGCTTTCTGTTCTCCTGTTCTACTAACTATAACAGCGTTTAATTGCTGTACTAAACTAATTAAATTATTATAAATTTGCTCTGTATACTGGTCGCTATAAGAGAAAAATATGTACATAAGTGAAGCGGTAGTTTGAACAAAATTTTCCTTTGCTGCAATATTCAGCTGGTCAGGATTTAAAATGAACAAAACACCTCCTAGATTAGAAAGATAAGTGGGGAAAAGTTCTGTTCTTGTATCTGCTGAACAGCAGAAGAATAACTGTGTACATAGAGTTAGAAGAATTTTTTGTTCATTAGACAAATCTTCGACTGACGGTGCTTCGTTGTCGAAGCTGTACTCTCCGTCTTCCTTCGCCGCCATTTCCAACAGATGAATCAAGATCTCGCGCGCGGCTTCTTCTGACATTTCAGCAGCAAATTTAAAAACTTCATTCAACTTGGAGATCTTTTCAATTGAGTCGACTTTGAAAAGGGATTTGTTTTTACTTTCTTGAGATAACAGTTCTTCTTTTAGAAATAAAGAAGCCACAAACTCCTGCATGGATTTGTGAATGAAGTGAACGTCTTTGCTGGGGTTAAGAGCGGACACGTTTAGAAGCTGAAACAACCCGGCCTCGATCAGTTTCTCAGTCAAAACGCGATCCGGCAGTTTACTGAGAGGAAAGTAAAGTAAATCTTGTAGAAGTGCGTCAAATGCTAGTTCTCCTACTTTACAAAGTTCTTGAATGTGGTTCTCAACTTCTTCCGCCTCTGTTTTTTGTTTTTCAGACATATGATTAAACATAGTCTGTAGAAACTTGAAGTACACCATCACCCGTGATGAAGGTAGTCCTTCACGATCCTTTTCTTTCCAAACCAACAACAACATTAAAAGCAAAATAGGTATTTTTGCTACGTCCTCCAGACTTTGTTGTTTCAAGTACTTGAAAAACTCTATAATATCTTGATAATTTTTCAAGAATCTACGGGCGAACTCCTCTTGTCGCGTACGGTCAAAACCGTCGATCTCAAATTGAGCATCGCTGGAACTTTTCAATCCCTCTCCTTTCATGTCTCTAGACGTTATAATAACACAACAATTCCTCAACTGCTTTTTCTCCCAGATTTGAAGAACAGGTGATTGGCTTGCTGCGCTGTGTACGTATTCATCGTACCCGTCCAAAATAAGCAACACTTTTTCCTGGTGGTGACGAACGTAATCGTACAGGTTGTCAGTGGAAATTGGGCCATCACTCGCAAGAAGATTAGCATCCCTCAGAATGGCTGGGACATCGTTGAGGTTACAAACATCGCGTAATTTGACCAAAAGTACGAGATCAAATCTTCCTAACTTTTCTTCAAATCTGTGCTGGGACCAGTCGAATGTAGCTTTCTGGGTAAAAACGGTCTTGCCGATACCTGGTCGTCCGTGAACCAAAATACGCTTAGGCAAATGATGAAGTCTTCCGCCGTCAAAAATGTCGGTGTAGTGTTTAACCTTTTTCTGTGTTACTCCGCTGGGATCCTTCAAATCCATAAGCCAAGACAACTGGGTGTAAACTTTGTCAATGTGAACGGCAGAGCTTTGGTCCCACGGAACGATTTTGACTGTGCTGTTGTCTGCATAAATTGATCGCAGCTGTTTCTGGCACTCCTCGAGGCAGAGAGAATCTGTTAAAGAAAATTTTACGTTCCTTTTTTTTAAAGAATGGTTCATTAACGACTTGATATCTTAATAGGCGAGGAAAGTTAAAGGGAGGTAGCTGACGCACAAAATATAGGCCCTTATTTATATAAACTGATCAGATCACCAAATAACAATAAAATTTCCACATTTAAAACAAATTATCCTCAACTCATTATACACCAACAGAAATGCAAATAACAGTGCATGTAGATATCAGGGCTCTAAAACACCAGAATATAGTGTAGGAATATAAATACTATGATCAAACGTTGAAGGAATGCTCCTTATTAATTCAATTTATTAATTCATTTATCTATTTTATTTTCTTCTTTTTCACCTGCTTACACACTGAGTTTAAGAAGGATGAGAAGGTAACTAGACAATCTAACAGTATATTTCGCTTCCCAGCTCGCACTTAATATTTCTCTTATATTATAAAGTTATACCCTAGCACAAATTTCAGTTATAAAAAAGTTGAAAATGTAATTTCACCGTGAGCTAAATAAAGAATTATTAATTATTACAATTACAAATTATGAATATGGCGGGATGGGCAACCTTGTCCGAGTAACATTTCTATGTAAATATCTTTGAAGACTGCATCAGTAAAGCAAGTGTAAAGGGGCGTTACCCCACAAAGAGAGGTTCAGGGAGGACATGCCCATAGAGGGGTACCTCTCCAAAGCTGTTAGTGACGTTTGTGGTTGAGTGGTAAAAATAATTCTTATTTTTTATAACCGGCCTCGAGGATTAACGCAGATTAAAAATACCTTGAGAAAATTATAACAGAAAAATTGAATCAGAAAAAGAATTTGATGCTTGAAGTATCCCATCATACGTCTTCTTTGCAACTTATTTTTGAAATAAAAATAAACAACTACTACCATCAAGATCATTTTGTATTGCAATATAACAAACGATAAAAGTCACTTTCATATTAAAATAAGCGTCTTTAATCTACTCTATGTCTGGTACCATTTCAGCTTTATTGGATATAATAGTACCTGGTAACTCCTTCTTATTGGCCGTAGAGCTAGAGGGCTGTTTCCCTGCTGATGGGTCTGTGAGTTAAACAAAATAAAATAAAAATTGAACTGACACATTTAAAAAACAGTTATTCAAAAGTATTTGGGGATGTTTATCAATCTGTCAGTTTTTTTGCTACTCACATTTTAGATTCTGGGTTTGAATAATAAAGTTTCAATAACAAAAAGCACTGAGCAGCTTGTCTTGGGACTGAAAGCTTACATCTTAGCTTTTACTTAATTGTGGGCGATACTGACATTTTAATTCACTAAATGATGTCTGGTCGCAGTTTATGTTTTAAACTTGGGTATGCAGGATTTTTGCTACACATTAAGTTGATTCTGAGAGGCATCTAGTTAGCAGCTGCAGTTCAAAAACATTTTCAAAACAGAAAATAAGCCCCAAAAATATTTACTGGGCCTTTCTAAACCATAGCTATCAACCAATCAGAGGGTAGAGTTCTAGAACGATCTAAAACCAGAAAATAAAGCCAGCAGAGCAGAGAGCTTCTTTTATGGGTTAGGGTTCAAGGCTGTCACTATGGTTTTCAGTTTCAGAGCAGGGAATAGAACATCCTGGAAATTCTTTTGGTCCTATTTTTTGTTTTATTACCTATGAAAGTAACCAGGGGTCATGCATGCTCATAGTAGCCAGGGGAAATCCACGCCTCCCGGCCCTTACTGACAGCCCTGTAAAGTTGGTTGCTAGTGTCATCAGGGCGTGGTTGGGGGGGGAAGAAGAGGATACTACCCTGTTAAACAACTGTGGTGCTACTCAAGTAAAACACTCAAAAGTATCCCTAGAAGGTACCGCAATCTTGCTTCGTCAGCATGGAAGAAATTCATTTTAAGATGAAATCCACCAGAACATTGAGTAATTTTGATTTTCAAAGGACAAAAATCTTGTACCAGAATCATTTAAAGCATATTGCATTCTTTTTTACATTTTTCAAGGGCTAAAGATCATGATGTGATAAATCATCTGTAGTAACACCAAAAAAAATTTCTCATGGGAGCCTGAGAAAATGAATGCCAAATTTCACAAAATTACATCTTACACACGCAATTTTTAGAAATTTTACCTGGCAGGTATAATGACAATTCTTGTGAAATTTGACATTCACTTTCTCAGACTTCCATAGGAAATTTTCTTTGGTGTAATTACAGATGATTTATTACATCTTTGGCCTATGAAAATGTAAAAAAAGAATGTAATATTCTTTAAATTATTCTGGTACAAGGTTTTTGTGCACTGAAAATAAAATCACTCAATGTCCTGGTGGATTCCGTCTTAAGCTCTGTTAGAGGTACCAAAAAGAGGAGGAGATATTTCACTGCTGTGAACCTTGAAGAATTAATAGATAGAAGACAAAGTTTAAAAGCTGGTTACTGTCAGGGAGCTGTTGTGATTCTCACATACAATGAATTAGTAATCTCTTATTCACCTGTAACAAAACTTGTGCTTGGGCCAGCTTGCTCAACCCTTCGAGATGGACCTTGAAATACGACAACAAATAATTAGTCATTTCACCAGTGTCTTGTTCACAACTTATGTTGTGCAATGAATTGCTTAATTAGAGACAATGAACTGGATCAAATGCTTTTTGTCTAATTGTAGGAGATTCATGGATCTTTTAATAAATCTTCCCAAAAAAAAAACATTTTTTGAATTTTCCTCAACTATTTGTAATTTTAATATAATTTAACAATGAGTACTGGCATCTTTATGCCAATGACAAAATGTGTACATGACATACCATACCATGGTTGAACTCATGAAACAAACTCAAGTTCAAGTTTAGTGTTTATTTGCGACATTTTAAACAGCAGAAACTTGAGTTGCGGGGACCACGTCCCCTGCTCTTTATGAATTAACAGTTTTTATAACAGAATTTTTATATACATGTATGATGCTTATTATGATTTATTGTCCTTAATGGCCAGAAGACGAGAAACTCTAACAGTTTACAGCTGTCTTTAAAAAGGAAGCACTTTCTTCACAGTTACATTTATTTAAAGATCCTGATTTCTTTACCTTGGTTTTTTGGTTTGTATTTCTCGAATAGCCCTGCAGCACTTCTCTTTATCTGGTTCCCAAGAGTATCTCCTTTCTTCTTAGAACGATCTTTATCCATTCTACAATTAAACCAAGATTAAAATTCATGCATCAGAAAATAGTAAGTTTAGTGGATTGAGCTGGTTAACTTTGCCAACACTCAATGCAGTTGTGCACTAAAGAAAGCCTGAAAAAATCAGGCTTACCGGCATTAAAACACTGACCTTGGGATACCAGTGCAGTGCTCTAACCAACTGAGCTGGCAAAAGCCAACTGGGGGCTGGTCATTATCACATATATTGGTTCCTAATTAATATACGCTGTGTCTGGAAGCCTAACTATTTTTTGCATTGTTTTTGCCACTGCATAAGTTGCATCTTTAAATGCGATGATCTTCATTTCTTTATTCTGCGCATGGTTCCAATAATATGAAATTCAGATATTAATTTCACCTTCATTATTCCCAGGTAATATTACACAACAATGCAGTTTATTGACTATACACAAACACAGGCACATTCAACGTGCATGAGCTATTTTGAACGCTTCAGCTCCAGTGGTAGCTATACAACTGGTTTTTTGTGCGAAATTGGGTATTGCTGTACATGAATGAAAACACTCAGCTGAGTCGATCCTCATGCTTAATATTCACTTTCCTGTCTTTCCTTGATACATCTGGAGCAAGTTAAACAAATTGTTAAAGTACAAAAAATATCAACTCACCAAACGTTGATTAGAGGGAAAACTCGAAGGTTTCTTCAGAGTTTCTTAAGAACATGTGGCACTGGCTCATTTAATACCGAATAGTTACGTCCAGGATTTTTTATCATTGTGGTAGGTGGTTGCATCATCATAATTCATGAGGTTTTCATGTGCAATTCTACTCAATGAGACAGTCTAACTCTGACGACTTAATTCTGCATGTTTTAAAAGCTATTGCTTCTTAAAAGACAAGAATTAACCTTTACTTAAGGCATTGGTTACAAAATGAAACAGGTCTTTATACGTTCAAGTTACTATTATTACTGTGAAAAGCCAGCATGAGATGTGCAGTCACACACCTGGCACGTGAAAGTATTGGACTGGTTTGTGAGGGAATTCAAGTTATCACACAGTAATGTAGTAAACAGGGTTATAGGTTATAAAAATTTCTCATGCACACAAATTGCACGTGAAGATGTTAGACTTTTCCCCTTTTACAAATTGTACAAGAAAGAACACATTGTTAACGAGATTACTTTGCTCAATTGATGTTAACAAAACACCTCCTTTTCTAACATCGACAAATATATAATTATACATCATTCAATGTTAAGATTGATACCCTAACATCATTACAGAATTGTCAAATTGGCGAAATACTGATTTCTACTCTTATGTTATTCCACTCAATGAAACAATCTCTAATTATTTCGTCAACTGGCTACTTCCTGGTTTATTTGCTACCGCAGAGTTATGCATCTTTTCTCAGCCACTGGGTAAATCAAATACGTTTTTTATGCAGGGCTGTGCTGTAGAGCCTACTTTTGCTCTTGGGTGACAAGAAAATCTTAGATTTTTCATACAAATCATATGCTGGGCACCCTAGATTTTACAGGTTCAGAGCACTGGGCTCCCTTCAATTTTCCTAATATAGCACTGCCTTAAACCAGTCAGAAGTGAGTAAGATGCACGCAAGGAAATTTACATAATTCAACATTCGTTGTTCGTGAAGTGGGAGACTTCCGGACGTTCTTGTTGCATTTTATATATCACCATAATTCATATTTATTATCTGGTGTTCCTCAGATATATGTTGCAACCAATAAGAAAAAGATTAACAACCCTGTCCTGCTTTGAAACAAACATTTGCTCACATGTATGTTTATGTACCCATGCTAGCAAACCAGTCTCCGTTTTGCAAACAAATAATTTGTAACCAAACCTTGCTGATCACTCTGTTTTACCTTTGTAAACTTAGAAACACCTGCAAATTGTAACTGACTGGTGGCCAAAACACCCTTTATTGAACTAGGCAAACATTTTGCTTAAAATGCCTGGCTTATTTTATTATAATATGCATTTAGCTCCTTCCAAGCTCTCTATGTTTCTTGTACCCTGTGTTTGGCTAGCGCGATGACCACTATGATGACTACAAATTCTTAATTTACGCTCATACAGCAGAGATACAAGGAACATTCCGAGTGAACCACATCTGTAAAGAACACACGGTCTTTCAGTACTTTCTGGTGTACAACTATGGATCGGAGTCGTAAATCGAATGCCTGTTAAAATGTTTCATGTTCAATGGATATTTTCCTCAAACCTCACCCTACTTCCTGCATGCACAATAACAGATTTCTGGGTTTTCTCCTTCTGATTCTAAGCACTCGAGAGAGTAAATTGTTGCAGACAATCGAAAGTCATGTCGCAGATCAGCTTCACTCGCTATTGTGTCCCAAGTGTAGTACACAGCTGTATCGGGAAAACCCTTTTCAACTTTCTTTATACATTAATTTTAACGTTTAAAACCTAACCGAAAAAGGTAGATCGTTGAGTGGAGAACTTAGTAGACAGAAATGAAAGCCAGATGACCACATTAAACGCCAGATTTGATCCGTTTGTAGGAACACTGACAATAAATAATATGCCTTAGTGCAATTCTTCTGAATGACTTGCAATTTTCTCAACAATGCTTGCACAAAAATACAAAATATGGCATTTAAAACTTCCAAAATAGACCAAATAGCTCTTGAATACTGATATAATAGCCTTCTCGGGCATCTCAGGGTCGACGGAAGAGGATTTTTTCACCAAAAGCAAATCTTGAAAAAAGGTTCACCAGACCAGAAATCAAGATGCCGCACATGCGCAAAAAGCATGTCACAGTCTCTTTAAAATCAACATCTAAATACCAAATAAAATATATTAACACTTCATTTGTAGACCTTAAAAAATATGATTTTTTATACTTCACTTTGGAGCGGGTGAAACATAATTCATGTACGTTGTGCCGTTCGCAATAGCTGAGTTGGGTCATAGAGGTCTTGAACCAGCAGCCACACTAAAATATGAACCCTTAAAGAGCTGCATCACAGTACTCAGCATTTCAACCATGAAGATATTTAAATGTTATGCTTCTAAACACCTTTAGCCGTAATAAAAGATGACCCAATTGTGAATAACCAAAATGGCAGTCTCGATAAAGTGCCCTCGTTTGACATTAAGCGCAGCAATGTCATGTTTAGATGTCAAAATCTCATTGGTTCCTAAGCAGTAACTCATAGTACCTTCAACCTTATTGGCCCCTGCAACACACATCCGAACAGACAAAGCCACAAAGCAGTAACGATACGTAAGCTTAGACCACTGACATATGAGCTATTTTTTCAAAATAGCTCAAAAACTAATGTTTACCAGACTATTCAAATTTATTACAAAATTACAGCACGCTTGCCTCTAGAAATTATTCTCAATGCCTAAAAATACTTGCAAAGAATACTTTGTTGAGCGAAAACAAATCAAGTCAACAACAGCTGATTAATCCAAACTTTGAATGTTTGGTGGCACAACATGTCATGTTTGCACCCAATTAGAACATGGTTTTTCCTCACGTGTACATGCTTAGATGCAACTGATGGTAAGTGAGAATAAGTTACAAGATACTTGCATTTCTTTCCCATCCCTATACGTAAGTTCTGGTTATTTGCTTTGAACTCCTGATAACTTGAACTATTTTTGATTTCCCTTGAATGTTCGAGTTATGAGGAGTCGACTGTATGATGGGTGGAAATTTAATACCACCCTCTTAATGTATCCTTTGCCAGTTTAGGCTCAACTACAATTATTTCTTCAACTGGTACAGCTAAAATAAAATAATTCAAAGAAAAACCTAATGTAACACTCGCACTCTTGAATATTGAGAAACTGTTTCTCTCTATGCTACACTCAGTAACAATCTTTTACTTCGTCATCATGTACTGTTTCCTTAGAGGTTGTTGCCAAGTTTACAAAACCTAAAGCAAAAGCTATTTCTTTAATAATGTTGACATTATTTTTCCTTCTGTTTTACACATCTCCATCACTGAGAATTTGTTCATTTTTTGTCGGCAATTACATAGCAGGAGTACTACAATTTGGTGCCAGCAGAATTAGTTTTTTAAATTCAACTTTGTGAATAAGCATTCAGTAAAAATGTAGTACAGTAAGACTAGTTTATTCTCCTACATGTGCTACTCACATGTGCTACTCACTACAATTTTCAATATTTTGCTGTTCCCCAACAAGGAGCATCTCAACTTAATTTTCAACGTCAGCAAACTAGCTGTGGACCAAACTCTCTAATAACTTTCCCTGCCAGCAAATCGCCAGGATATTTTTGAGGACTAACAAAAGCAAAGTCTTTCATTCTACTTGTATAGCACATCACATAAAAGAGAACTCAGACTGTAGAGAAATACCATTTTAGATTGGTATTGTAAGAGAATACCTTTGTTTGTTAAAATGAAATTAATTCCATCAGTAGTCTTTAACTCCAAGTCATACCAACTGTCTTGGTCAGCCATGCAGTTTCACTGAAATAAATGGCAAAAAGTAAGGCAGGGCATGGGGTGGGGAGGAGAGGGGATTTGATTGTGTGTTGGACCTGCAATCAGGGACAAAAGTAGTTGACACACTTGTTTAAAACGGGTGCTATTAACAAACATTTAATTCATCTATTATTTCATTCTTTTTAAACGCCGTAAATCCCCTCACCCCCCGAATCAATGTTGTCTGACGTGAAAAAAAGACTTGAGGGTCCAAAATTCAACATTGATTTTGGGGGAGAAGGGGTTGGGGTAGACAGGGGAAGAGGATAAGTATATCCACTATGCAAAAAGGGGCCATTTTACAGAAGTGTGTCAACACTTTTGTCCCTCATTGTGGGGTGGGACATTAGAATGATCTTGTTCTCCTGGGGGAGGGGATATTTGAATCTTTCTTTGTTCAATGTGCACTAGGATCAACTAAACATTTAATAAAGTGCTGTATCAAAGTAAACAGAAGCTCTATTTTCAAAACAGAAAACTCCATCAGGTTGAAAACGTTCAGAGAGGTTTAATTTTGCCTTTAAAGGCCCACTGCCAACCTTGATGCATTGCGCCAGAAACCAGAGTTCCCTGACTTTTTAACAAATTCCCTGACTTTTCCCTGACGTTGAAAAATTTTTGCTTTTCCTGACTTTTCCCTGACTGTAGCAACTCTGATAAAACTTATCAGCTCTAGGAAATTTTGGTACATTTGACTGGAATGATTTGCCTGTGGGCAGGGAATTTGACAACAAATTTTGGAAAAATGTCACATCCCCACACCATGCCCTGCCTCCCTGCCCCCCCCCCCAAAAAAAACACTCCCTTTACATTGATAGGTAATGTGGTCCCTTTTCAACTTACTGGTACTCGGGGTAGGGATATTTGGACACAATTGGTACATTTTTCTCTGGGATTAACCGTAATTCGAATTTTAATAAATTTCGACTTACACATTATCAGAAAGTAACAAATCGATATTTTCTATACTCAATTAAAATCAATAGTAATCAATCAAAATCAATTATAATTTATCGATAAATATCGAAAATCGATGGAAATCGATCGGTCGAGTTTTTGTGATTATCAACTTCTGCAATTAAACGATTGATTTGATCGATTTTGATTGAAAAATATCGAAAAGATAAAAATGGGCAAAGCCAAGTTGGTTGATTCGTTTTTCTGTTGTGTTTAGTCCATCGTCACTCGCTAGAACATTACTGATAAACAGCAACTCGTAACTGATATCAAAGTCAATAAACATATCCATAACACTTTATTGGCTTTATTGATATTGACCCTACGATTTGTATGTCACTACAGGGTACTCAGGGGTACTGCATGTACTCAAATCGATAGGAAACACAACCATGAGAGCAATAATATAATGTGACTCGTGTCATTTTCCGTCATGATGTCATGCTCCTTTCAACAAATCTTTAGTTCTACCACTCAATGGGTCAACAGACGTACCGCTCACTAGTTCAGCTTCGAATGGAAAAAAAATTGGGGAACTCCAGCCAAATTGGTGATTATCGATTTTAATCGATTATTATAACTAATCAATCGACAAATATCGAGTATTACCGAGTACTACGTCCTGATAAAGGTCTGCATTAACTGGTGTTAAACACCAAGTCAGACCAATAATTCACATTAACTGTAGAAAGAGAAAGAATATAGGCTGCTAAAGCAAGAATTCCTCTTAGAATGAACATTTATAGATTCATAGTAAGCAAAAACAGCTGCGTCTACTGAGGTCACGAAGCTTACCTAACGTTGATTCAGTGTAGACTATTGTTCAGTTATGAAGAAGCTTCAAAAGCCTGGAATAAACAATTAACCACATTGATCAACCTTTATAGATGAAGCATCACCTTTTACCATTACCTTTTGAATGCAATTAAGCTAAGCAACTTAAAAAAAACAAACAAACAAACGAACAAACAGACCTCCAATTCACTGCGGAGAAGAAGCTGCAGGAACAATTGTCACATGTACTTTTCACTCTTAGGTCCCAGTACTTTGCTCGGTTGATCTGCAAAAAAATTTGGAATGCGGTAAGGGAAAACTAAATGAGGAAATTGGATCGAATTATATGTAAATTATCGGCAGAAGCGATAAATAGGTTAGTAGAATTTCTATGGTATCAATAAGAGTAGTATCAGAGTTATAACTTGTTATCTAAATATAAAATGACTAAATATACGTAAAATTTAGCTCTACTGGCGAAAGATTTTATGGATCATGTGGGTATTGAAAAACACTGAATGCGTCATGTTGATTCTTTAGATGATTCTCTTCTCTTGAGCTGCTCATAAAATGGGTACCTTTCCCATCAGAAATATACAGCTGAAGGAAAAATGTTGATAAGTACAAACCTCTTGACTTTCCAGGAGCAAATGTCTAATGTAGAGAAAGAAAAAAGGGACAGAAGAACTGATAAGTAAAAATAACTAAGGTCTCCGGGGGTACTGTCATATATGAGCTGAATTCTATGAGGAAAATGCTGTTTATAATTTTTTTTTATTCAGAGATCGCACAAATTCGCAACGAGGAATTATATAAATAGTCTTTCCTGAGTTCCTCGGGATTAGTTCTAAATCAGTTCATGAACAATCTAAGTAGTTTAAATCTTAAACAAACCTGTAGACGATCTCCGATGTACCTAAACGGCTTCGACAAGCTCCGACAGTGGCTGAATAAAAATGCAACCTATTTTAATTCACACTCAGTCCCTGTCGAAAAACAGAAAAAGATTGACCATGATTGAAAGATAATCAGCAGAACTTTGTGTTTGTGTAAACGGAGTCATGTCAGTGTTTAGAGACATTTGTAAAAACGGACTAGTCTACCAAGAATGACTGAGTCCAGAATTTTCAAAGTAAGTAATTCACTGAATTCACTAACGCATAAGTGAACATCACTTATCCATCTTCATGTTGTCACATTGCTGTATTTTATTTGCAACACAATTGATCAAGCACTATTGATATCTGTTTTTATTAAAAGAAGTGGCAGCTTTCTTGATTTTCGATGATTTGCGTTCAGAAGGAAACAGAAGTCTGTTTAAGACTGAGAACATCATAAACTTATCGAAAGACTTGGACGTTCACGACGGTCACCGATCCGCTTCAGCTGCTAATTTTATTAAGTGTACTGATCATCGTTTCACAGAAAAATCCCTTTGCAAGTTGAAGTTAATGACTGTTCGAGAAGAAGCATCCTAGAAAGGTTCATGCAGTGTTGACTCAATATAACAGAATTAGTTTTGTGTCAGAAGCTTGCAAGTTTGTTAAGACTTTCATTTCATTATGATTGATGTCGACGCCATTTACCCCTAAAGCATACACTGCAGATACTATCTAGTGACAAAACAAGTCACAAATAGAGAGGTAATTCCGTGGCGTTCGTTCTCTGCTTATTCATTACTGCCTTGAACTTTAAAGTTTCTAAACTAACAACAGTAGATACTCGAATTTTAGAAAGTCTGCTTACCGGCGTCACTGGGCGATCTAAGTGTATGGCTATACATAAAATTTATGGCGAATGTGTACATCAAGAACCAGCGATAATACTAAGGTACCCGATTTCTCCTTCTTTGATTTAAGACAAATTAAGACTTGGAAAACCAAACATTTAGGCTGGCATTGGAGATATTGAAGCTCTTTCCCATCTGCCTCGGAAGTGAGACATATGTACAAGATGATGTACTTCAGTGAAATATTTAGTGGCGCTGGTTTGGGTGCGGTGTTTTATGCATGTATTAATTATATTTAGATTGAATGACGTCAACGTCTGGGCTGGAATCACGCGATATTTTGGAGAGAAACAACGGATCATTATTGAAAGCTATTCAGCTGTGCAGCCACACAATGTTATGTAATGTTATGCTAAGGAGAGGGTACTCTTAAGTCACACAATTGACTTGTGTTGGCCAGTGGGTGTAGCAGTGTAACATAACATACACTTTACATTACGACTCCTCTATGCGGGGCTATTCTGACGTATAAATATACAATAATGAAATTACAATGGGGCAAAAACATTTACATCTGTTATCTGGTATCATTACACCCATAAGAATTCACCGTAATACCTTAAGTTCTCCCAAACACCGAGATAAGAAACGTAGTACGACACGGTACTCTTGTTTTGTTTTTTGATCAGTCGTTGCTGACACCTTAATTGAATGGAGTTTACAAATTTTTCGCCGCCAGAAATCCTGGATCTCATGGTTTAAAGGCGATTAATTCCCGGATCCCGCTTCATAATAACGCTAAATCCCGCGTCTCGTCCAAAAATGCAATCCCGAATCCCGCTCCCATATTTCTTTAGAATTCCAAATCCCAGTACCCTGAGAGCAGGGG